TCGTGCAAAATTTGCAGTTAACAACAGACAAAGTCGCGTCGAATCTCCGAAAGTCGCGTGTAAAGTCGTATGAAAGTCGTGTGCGAGACGCGTGCGAGTCGTGTGCGACTTTCCACGCGACTTTCAGCGATCCGCGCGACTTTAACAAAAACCAGGCATGAAGGGGCCTTCCAGGAAGGTCCGCCGTCAGCCATGTTTTAGCGATTAAGCCAGCCAGTCTACAATCTGTTGAACTCGTGTCTCGCGGACTCGCGATTGGACTCGTGACATCTCGTGCGACTCGCGAGTCTCGCGATGGAAAGTCGCGCACTCGTTCCAAAACTCGCGACGGACTTCCTTCTTTTCATACCAAAACTCGCGGGACTCGCGGTGGTCTCGCGACTCTCGCGCAACTCGTGTTTTCGACTCATTGTTTCGCGCGAGACTCGCATTTCCGCGAGTTGCGCGAGAGTCGCGAGACTGTGGTTTATTTGGCTATTGGAATCGCTAAAGTGACGTCACGGCGGGCCTTCCAGGAAGGCAGCCGATTTTGGAGATGGCTTAAAGTGGTTCCTATTCGCGCTGTGGACTTACCGAGTTTCCTGCGATTCGCGAGTTTCCTGCGATTCCTTCAGCGGGAATGGCAGGAATAGAACGAATGGGGCGACCTCACCGCGACTTAGCGCGACTTACATCGTCTTTCTAAGTGTAAATGCTAGTTTTTACTATTCGTGCAGTGCGACTTACCGCGAATTGCGAACGACTTTGGAAGTCGCGCTGCGCGACTTACGGCGAATCGAGAACGACTTCAGCCGACTTTCTGGATTGCTCATTTTAAAAAGCGAATGGCCTATTAATAATCCGCTGCCTTCCTGGGTCCGGAGCTGTCTCGCGAGAAAAAAGGCTGTTTTCTGAGGTGACTGAGCGTCGCGTCGGAGTTGGGAGGCTGAAGGCTGACTCGACTCAACTGGTAGCTGTACGCTGTACCCGTACCACCAGCTAGCTAGTGGTCTAGTAGAGTTCTGGATGGCTGGCTACACTGGCTACTAGGTGGTACCAGTACTAGCTAGTAGTCTATTACATCTATCCTGGAGCTGCAAGTAGTGCAGGTCCGTCTAGAGCTGGATAGCCAGCTAGTAGCCAAAAGCCATCTAGTATCGTTTACTTCAATCGTCTGAACTGTGAAATTGTTGGTACAACAAAGGAAATCAGAGTGGACAGCTCAGGTTTGACCTCAGGATGGGTTAGGAAATTGCCTCCTTCGAGTTCCTGATGGATCATCCTCGTTCAACATGTGGTGGCGTTCGATGTGTAGCGGCAAAAGACTTGCCTGGAGTTGGAGCCAGCTAGTACAGAACAGCTTACAGGACCCAGCCAGATGAGACCACTGCAGGCTGTCCACAAGCCAAGCAACTTGAACAAGGGCGGCAAAGCAAGGTAGTGAAATTTGAATGCTTTCAGTGTGCTTCCTTTGCTTTGCTTTCTACTAATGCAATATGCACCAAGCGAAACAGCGGTCCACTGTGATCCCACAATGACTACTGGCGAGCTAGCTACACTGACACTAACAAGCAAGCAAGCAAGCAAGTTACTATCAGAGTGTGGTGGCAACGCGAAACACTTCATTTCCGTTTATCCAGTAAGCCCCACCAGCCACTGCTCCGCCATGCCACCATTGACGCACTCGCTCTGGATCGCTATGGCAAACATGCTTCCAATGCTACCGGTATATGCACGACGAAGCGACCCATTGCGTGACCAGCTACGCTGTCACTAATAACAAGATATCAGAATGTGGTGACAAGAAAAAACCCTTCATTTACATCCACCTAGCTAGAGTAAGCTCCGCCACCATCGATGGACTCTCGCCATCACATACATACATACATCAAGTATGCATCCATTCATTTTACAGAAAACGCATAGCCATTTTTCAAAAATAGAGCCGACTGACTCACTCAATCGGTACGTACGTTTTTCGATTCCATTGCGTATTGTCGTTTTGTTTTGTATAGTCGCTCGTGCGTCCTCGATGCTCTACGTCTCCACCACCACCGGCGGATACTGTCCCATGACAATTTGTACAAACCGTGTCATTAGCAATGACACATCCATGGCATCGATGCGTTCGTGATACCAAATGGGGACTCGTATGTAAGCCAAAAAGTGGGAAAAGGCGAGAAACAATCCGGGCGTATAGTGCGCCAACCCCAACCAGAGGATGCCCGGCATTTTGGTAATCCATGTTTCATAGAATAACATGTAAGGTCCAGAGATTCCCGTCAAAATCAAATGGGCGACCCGATCGGCCGTCATGGCGGATCCTCCCGCGTGGAGTGTCGATGCGACTGGATTCCAAAACCCTGTCAGGGTGGCGGCGGGACATGCCATATTGACTGTCAACCACTGCGATTCTTCCGTGGCGAGTGACCAAAAGTAGGTCCGTAACGCGGCTTTGGAAGCGGCATAAGTACTGGAGAGTCCGTAGGGTCCATGGGCCATGATGGATGCCACAACGACAATGTGTCCTTTTGGGTTGTCATGAGTTTTCCATTTTTCGAGCAACGCTTGCGTCAAATCGACGGGGGCTTGATAATTGACGCGTGTGACGTAATCTCGTTCTTGTTTTGTGGTGAGCATGGCGGGTTGATTTTGATAGACGCCGGCATTGAGAATGACCATATCCAAAGGGTCGTCCCCACAGGCTTTCCAGACGCGATCGACAATGGTGGCTTCCATTGTGGTAGTGCTATTGTTGGCAGCGTCGTAGGGGACAATGGACATTTTGGTGTGTTCGGGATGATATTTCGATCCCAATAGAGATTGACATTTGGACGCCACATTGAGCAGCTTGTCGCGTTTCCGAGAACTCAAAATGACATGGGCGGCACCTGCCTGTAAGGCTTGACAGACCATGGACGCTCCAATGCTGTATTCATCCGATAAATTATGTGATGTATGCAGTGTAGAACAGAAAAGGACATGGGAAAATCAAAAAGGACGAATGAGAGAGTGAATAGATGTAAAAGCACAGTACCGTAAATCGTTTCCGGATGGAACAGCCGACACAAGGATCATCACAACTCAACTCAACTCTCTGCTCTACCTACTCCACTAACAAACAACAATGATACTGCACTGTCACTTACCCCGACGAAGCGCCCGTGATCCAAATGGTCTTGTTTTGAAGACTGGAATGCTGCCATCCCCCCGTCCACGTCGCCGCAGCATCATAAAAGTAGAGAGTAGGAGCGGCATCCAAGTTGTTCCATGCCACTACCAGCACCACCAGAATCCAAGCAATCGAAAACATCATCATCATGGTGTGTGACAAACAGACAAACAAACAACGGAAAATGATGGTGCTCTTTCGATGGGGTTTTGATGTGAAGAGGAGACAAAAGAAGGATCTTCATTTGAGTGTTCAAACAGCTAAACAGGCTGATTTATTGCGTGGATCCCTTTGAAGATCGAAGATCTTCTCCGACATCACCAGCAGCGCCTTCTGAATTCTCACTCCTACTGTAGTTTTCAATCATACTGTAGGATTGATGGTGTGCCATAATCATGTACCATACTAGTACGGTACCGATAGTTCGTGATACCGTTCGAAGAATCTTCTCCGACTTCTCCAGAACCTTCTGACGACTCCGCGCGGTCGAAAGATCCAATTTGAAAATCCAGAAGCGACGATGCTGTACTGTAACCTCTCCACGCTCACAAAACCAAATAAACAAAAAGATACACCAAACAACCGTCTTCTTCTTCTATCTATCTACTACTATCTTTAAAAAACAAACAATGGCTCCATCATCAGAATCCCTCGGCAGCTGTATTATTGTGGGTGGAGGACCCGGCGGCGTGCATGTCGCCACAACGATTGCCAAGATGTGCGGCGCTACGGTGGATGTGACGATTGTGGATCGTCAAAATTATATGGATTGGAGTTTGGCATCGCCGCGCATGTTGGTGGCGCCCGACGATATTGACCAATATGGCTATTGTATGCCATTGGATAAAGTCTGTGAATTTGTGGGACTGCAAAAAGGCAAAAACAAAACCACATTTGTCCAAGCCGCCGTCACACAAGTGGGCCCCAAAAGTGTAACGTTGGACAATGGCCAGACACTAGAAGCGGATGTCATTGTGGTTGCTATTGGAGGACAATATTCATCGGGGGCGATTTGGAAACCCACGCCCGATCTCACTACTCGAGAAACGCGAATTGCGGCGTTTCGGACATTGCGCGAAAAAATTGCCAACTCGAAACACGTCGTCGTGACAGGCGCGGGTCCCAGTGGCGTCGAAGTGGCGGGAGAACTCAAGGCCGCCTTTCCCGATCTACAAGTCACCATGGTGGGATCACTCTTGCCCAATTCACCGGAAGTATTGCAGATACGTGTCAAGACGGCATTGGAAGGAATGGGTGTTGTCGTCAAGGAAGGCCGAGTCGATGCCAAGGAACCCGACAGCGACGGCACGGTCAAGACCCGTGATGGCGGCACGACTATCGAAAACGTCGATTTGATTTTAAATGCCGCTGGATTTACATTCAAAGGAAAAGATATTGCGGACGACACGCTCCAGAAAGATGTCACGGACCGTGGTCAATTCAACTGTCGTCATACACTCCAACTCGCATCCACCGATTCCGTCTTTTGCTGTGGAGACGTGCTGGCCGTCCCGGAAGGCTACTATGCCGATGTCAAGGGACTCCAACATGCCGACATGACGGCCGAAACGGTGGGTAAAAATGTCGTGGCAATGCTCCAACAAAAACCACTCGCCGATTTTGCATGGAGCAAGACACCCATTAACAAACCCATGATGACCGCCTTGGGACCCAAAATTGCCATTGGATACATGGGAATGCCCAATTTTATGGAAAACTTTCTGGGACGAACCTTGAAATGCAAGGACTATTACATGAGTCTCAAAAAGAGTGGGTATGGAAAGGGCAAGACGTGGTAGGTAGAAACGAAAAGAAAATGATTAAGTGAAGTGAGCCTCAGTCAGTCAGGACAACAAGAAAAAGGAACAAGGTTGTGAAAGGAAGGTGTCGCTTGTGTGTGAAAAGGAGTGCAGTGAAAGCGTATTGAACGATTTATGTATTAAATTAAAAACGAATGTATCCTACAGTGCAAAAAATGCCAAGCTACCATAGAGTACGCTGCGCCCCTCTGGACAACGTCAAGTTGCTGTAGGAAGCTCACAGAAAAGGGTGTGCCGTTTGGTAGCTCTAGCTAGTCTAGTCTAGTCTAGCTGATGAATCGAATCCGTCTGTCTCTTCTCTACGTACAACGTTTTCAACGGACTGCAATGCAATACAAAGCAGAAGCAACCACTTCCTTTGCTAATGGGAACTCATCTGCCGCACATCTTTCTCTACTTTCGCTCTCCAGGGGTGCAATTGGCTGAATTGCAGGAGCCAGCAGCGGGGCACAGGTAACCAAGCAGCGCCAGCTTCAAAAAGGATACAGCAAAGCTGCGGCTCTATTCTTCCCGTGTACCAGGAGGATTTTACGTGACCTTTCCTGCTGTCCTACTCGTTCATTGCATAGCAAAGAGGCAGGGAAAGAACGGAGCTGATGATTGCCTTCCCTCCTTACAGTTGTGCGATGGGTCGACTCAAATTGACAGACGAGATCGGCATTGCTTTCCCTGTTTCTTTGCTATGCTTCACAGAGTACCATTCATTCTCATGAAGTCATCTTGCATCTTTCTCGTCACCTGGTGGCGGATGGTCGTAGTGGAACATATGCATGTAATCTTTATTCAAGGCTTCCTTGGCAGCTTCGTAGTCTATTGGTCGAAAGTTTCCTCCTGGCGGCATGGGTTTGGAGTACTTGATCCATGCTTGGATGAAACCAGTCGATTTGTCGTGGCCTGGAGAGTCTGCCTTGGCAGAGTCCAAAATGTAGGTAAAGTTTCGATCGGTGCGAATTTCGCCTCCTACACAGGTGCAGATCTGGGTTGTCGTCTCTTCGGCATGGAACATCAAGTCTTCCAAACGGACAATCAACCTCGGGTATTTCGCATCCTCAATGTACATTTTGTACCAATCGTTCCAAAGATGGGCCAGTGAATCCGAGTATTCCATACGGCCATTGGCAAATTTTGTGGTCACCTCGTTCCATTGTCCCCGCGGTTTGAGGTTGGGACAATTTTGCCCCTTAAAGCCGTGGCGCCATTTTGCAGTGTATCCCTAAAGCGGTAGCCAATAATATCAAGTCGTAGTAGATTGAGTTTCTCATTCTGATTTCATCATCATAACGTCAAGGCTACCGGTATGCGTTGTCTGACCGGATACTCACATTTTTGCACTACAAGGCAGAAAACACCGTCAGTGAAGCTGTTCCCCAAAACGATAAGGAGGTTGATTTTTAATGCCTGAACTTTCTTACCATGCTGTGCATCCAACTGTATGGATGCCGGATCGTCACTACAGGCATGATCCACTCTTTGTTTATTGCTTTGGCCTTTTCTGTGGAGTGTTCCTCCTTGTATTTTGCCGGGGAATGCTTGCCCCATGGTACCTATAACATGAAAAGGGCGGAAAATGGGTGGAGTCAATTGGGAAAAATCCACGAATTCAGCTGAGAGAGTATGCAATGAACAATTCTTTTTCTTCGACGTACCTGCCATCGCATGCTGCCGAAAATTGAGTGGATGATGGTCTTGCCAGTAAAGGATGTTATTGATACATTTTTCGACTTACCCATGAGCTTCTCTGGATGCATCAATACCATACTTTTCAACTCTCTCGGGTATCTTACAATTGTTCTTGAGTAAATGAGTGACCAGGTTTGTGCCAGTATTGAACATGCCACTGCTCCCCAACATGCGTTCCACTGCTGGTACCGATTGTTTGAATGCTTCACATGTATCCAATCCCCCAATGACTGGTTTGGGTCCAATGACGCGCACAATCTGATCCCAGGTGGGCAGCGTCTCAATAACAGTGTTGTTCAATGGGGGTATCCCAGCTTGTTCGAATACCTTCAAAACGGGAGCTCGACCGAATTCTTGTTTTGAGGAAACTGTTTCCTTGTTTCGTGTCTTCAATACGGGCAATTTGTGTTGATTGTCTTCGTCTTGAAAGGCAAATTTCCGCTTGGATTCCCATGTCATTTTGGACAGATATGAGGGATTGTGTTTGCCGACTTTATCGTATCCTCCCATGTGTCGCTGTCGATGGCGAATGTTGAACTTGGACAAACTCAAATTCTTGGACGTCAAGAAGTAGACATCGATAAACACTGTGAAAATGACCAGACCCCCCAACAACGCCGCCAGGCCTTTGGAATTGGTGCAACCATTAATATTGGTTGACCCAGACGGATTTTTGGATGGTGGCTTCAACGTCCTGCTACTCGCTGGTCCATGGCCGTTGGTAACAGACATCGTGGGCCTTTGTCCTCAACTCTCAATCAACGAATGCTCTCAGTCCTAAGCAACTTGATTGTCCTCCACTAACACACCAGCACCAAAGTCTGAAGATGTCTTGGGAGCTTTTTGCACCCACAACAATGGCAATGTTTCTGTAATACAGTGTGAGACAAAAAAGTAAGCTGAGAGCGAGGTGCGCGCCAATGAAAGCAAGTCAGTGCCACGGTCAATGCCGTGCCCCGGTACCGATACAGCCGTACCAGTACATGTACTTTCGCAAATCAACTTGGAACGCCGTGGAATGTGTTTTCCTGCAATGCCCAGATGGATTCGATTCGATTCGAATGATTCGATTCATCCTAATAGAGCCACAGGTACTACCACTACCACCCGGTGGTACGGTAAAGGTACCGGTACCGCAGGACGCATTGTTTGCTTCGTCGCTCGTGTTTGTCGTGGCATTACACATTTTGCCTACGAATGGGTACGTCTACCTACTGCAGGACCGTCCGACGCTTTTCACTCAGGATTTAAGCATCTTCAACTTTCCACGACTGACAACATCCTGGAAACAACCCCTTACACAACCCCTTAAACAACCCCTTAAAGCTTCAACATCCCCTTCAACAACCCCTTTAATAAACAACCCCTTAACAACATCCCCTTATATCCTCGAAACAAATCCATAAGCCTTCATTGAAACGCCGTACAACAACCCCTTATCACGAATGAACATCCCCTTAAATAGACAACCCCTTAACAACAACCCCTTAAATATTTAACATCCCCTTTTAAACAACCCCTTAAAGCTTACATATCCCCTTAAACAACCTCTTAATGAGAACCGGGATAATGAGTCAGTCGTGCCCGTTTTTATTAAAGCCTGAGGAAAACCGTCGGACGGTCCTGAGGAGGCGGTGGACGTCAACAATCTAACCTAGTAGTCTACACGTACATGCAATTCATCGATTGATGCATTCCACGTGCACGCGATCACGTTGCGAGTGTCCACGGCACGCTGAATCGCGCCGTGGAAGTAAAGTCGGGCTCGTCCAAATGTATTACTTCAGCCTTCAGCTCACAGCCCAAGGAACCTGGGTTATTGTTGGACGGCGTGGCGACTTTGTTCTTTCAGGTTGTTGTTGAAGCGGATCACCATGGTTGACGCCAGCGAACCATCTCTACTAGAGACGCTTCAAAATTTCTTGACTGATGATACTTTGAATGATGTGACACTCAAGGGAACAGATGGAGTGGAAGTGTCTGCCAACCGATGGGTACTCTCTTCCAGGAGTAAGGTTTTCAAAGGGATGCTCCTGGGAAAGTTCCAGGAAGCTTCATCCACTGTTGTAGAGGTTGGCTTCAATGGAAGTGTCTTGAGAGCTATTGTGGAGTATATTCTTACAGATTCAGCCGAGATGTTGAATCCGAAGAAGCGCAAGAGCCATGCAGAGGGAGGAGTGTACTACGATTTTCAGTTCATCCAGTCCCTTGTGAAGTTGGCAGAGGCTTCTTCATATTTCCAGCTTCCTGGGTTGGGACATGCCGTGCTGACGAAATTTGATGAAATTTTGGAGACAGCCCCAGGCTCATCATTTGCTATCCTGCAAGCCTGCAAAATGGCTGGACCTTCCATCTCAGAGAATATTACAAAGCAAGCAATGGATTATATTCGCTCTGCTCCAGTATCATCAATCACAAAGGAGAATGTCCATTGTTTGAGCTCTGATGTGTTGGAAGAAATTCTAAAAGATGAAGAAATGCAATTTACAGAATACCAACTCTTTCAACTCCTGCACCTCTGGGCAGAAGGAAGTAAAAACGAGCGCAACAGGATTGCCAAGCATTTTTCCGAGCACATACATCTGAATAAGATTGACCCAGAAACGTTATCAACGACTATTGCTACATCAGGGTTGGTCACAGCCATCCAGCTTTGTGAAGCATACAAGCAACAGTCCCTGAAGGCAAGCAAGTTGTCCAACCACGAACTACTGGGTTTAGACAAGTGCCGATGCACACATTGGGTGAAAGATATCCCTCCAGATTGCGATACCCCAATGGAGATAAAAGTGCAAGGAGCTGGTTCAGATGCTGTCAATGGTATTTATGTTCAAAATGGGACATTTGAAGGCAAGTGCATGTACAGCATGCATGGTGAATATGATGGGAATCCATGTGTTTTCTGGCTGTTCTACTGTAAGAACGAGCATTGGTATATTTCAATTCCTGGCAAGAAAGAGCCAGGAACAAGAGAAGATAAAGATTTCTACAGCATCAGAACTAGAAAGCGCAAAGCACCTCCGTCCTCAGGGTGGACATGCTGTGCTCGGGGAGTCAGTCCAACCCCAAACCTTTTCTACAAGGTTGGCAATAGCAGACAGCAACATCAACAACACCTGGGATCAGAAACTCACAAAGCAACACCTTGAAGCGCCAACATGAGAATACAGCATCTGCGGGCGCAGGCCAACGTAGCGGGTCTGGTTAACATTTGGCTTGCTAGCGGTAACATTAACCAGCCTGAGATCTATAAGGAGCAGCTGCCTGCCTGCCTAGTATAAAATCAGAACCATATGAAAGATCTCAACAGGAAACATCTAGCTAGTTCCACGCACCAGTAACGGTGTGCATTTCCTATGCCGGTTCCAAGCAACGAAGTCCAGTCCTGGGAATGAGAATCTCGAGTAGCAACCGCTCTAGCTGGACTAGCCAGCTAACTTTGAATAGGAACGTTCCAACTCCCACCCCCGATACCTGCCCTACAATTACAGACTTCCCCGTCCCCGTTTCTATTCCCACTTTTATTTCCCCTATTTCGCCCGAACCATCGAGAATGAAGTCCACTCGGATCCTGCTTTGAGAACCAGCAACCTACATGAGCTCAACTTGTCCTTGCAAGCAAAACAAAAACGCATTGGAAGGCTCACAAATCACGTTCGGTTAAACAAAAAGCATTTTTAAAACAAAGCATTCAAACACTATACAAACAACATGTGTTCTCTCGTAGCATCCTATCTCAATTTTTCCCATGATGCTTCTTGCCCGCCACCTGAGCAGCAAGAACGTTCCTCTTCCTCAAGTTCCTTTCCATGGACAACTAGCCACAATGGAAGGAGCTCTATTGGCGAGCTGATACGAAGCGCGTCGCTCGAGAATGTTTACGCCTTGGTGGGATCTCCTTCTTGCATCAAATCCAAGGTTGTAAATATCGTCGAGGTGGATGGCCAAACCAAGCTCATTGGTTTTGAGATTCCCAAGAACCAGGAGTATCGATTTGACCAGCAGCAGTTTGTTGCGGTCTACTACGCTGAAAAGAAAACAGATGTGGTGGAAGCTGGTACTTTTCCCATCATGTCCATCAAGCACAATATGCTTGGGGCTCCTATTGTGTACATTGCGGTTCGCGTGGACGAAACACATGATCCTCACAGCATGGCAACATTCCTTTACGAACAAGGACGTCCCCTTCTATCTGCCAACTTGGTTCCTTAGAATCGAATCTATCAACGGGCTCCGACAGATTCAATTCAGCACCCTGAAGATTGTATAGTTAGTTGAACATGGTAGTTCCAAACACAAAAGACAGCAGAAGACAGTATAAAGTAGCTCATTCATTCAAACAAACTTTCATATCTTCCCCGGCAGCTAACTGGACGGGAGGGACGGTGTCCCTCATGATAAGCACTACTAGCTAGAGCGTTACTGCGTTGGTAAGGACAGGCTAGCTAGCTAATAGGATCAACCAGGAGACCAGTGTGGTTCCGAGCGCGACGAAAGTTTTGATTCTTGGGTGGGTTCGGTTGGAAAGGAAAGGAAAGGATTGGAAGAGTCGAGTCCGGGCCCAAACTTTACTATTGAGTTTGCATTCCGACGAGTGGTGATGTGCTATCTGTCGATTGGTCTGGTCGCACAACGAGTTCTCGAGGAGCAATCGGCGCAGCCCTGGGCCAGCCAATGAGGTCAACCCAGCTATCTACCGGCCGGTCCACCGTAGTACAATCGTGCATGGCATTGCATTGGTGTGTATACAGCCTGGCACTGGGATGCAGTTTCTGAGGTTAAGTTCAGGGTTCGTTTTGTTTCAATAGATGATTCATTGATACACCCAGTTGCCCACCTTCCAGAACCTTCAATCAATCAATCGGCCAAGAAACTAACCGGCATGGCGGCATTGTGGTGGAGGTGCGTCGCTCCACAGCGCTGGCTGCATTTTGCCACTGATAAGAAGATACCGTACAGTCGTACTGTACCGATAGATCTTTTGATATCATCGGCAAGTCAACGAACGATTGCATTGTCGCTGGCTCCAGCTCTTTCATCGAGCAATTGCAGAGAACGAAAACACAACGGTCCTTCAGGGCAAGTCGCGAGCCGGCAATAGCCAATCCATAATTCTGACCCTTAGAAGCTTGTTAGCGTTACGGGTCATTTTTTGCTTCATTTTTGCTTCCGGTACTTCTGTCATTGGGGCCATTCGTCAGCGCCATTGAGCTTCAGCCTTGTTGCTGACAGTTGCATCAACCTCGCTGCGCTCCCCGTTGCGGCAGTAGGTCCCAAACGTCGCCACGTTTTATGGGACGATGTTGATGTGTTTGATTGGTTTGAGGTGGCTGGGTCGCACTATGACGATGGACGAAGAGGAAGGAAGGGTTCAACTTCAGCGATGAAGGAGCTTTCGAAAGCCATCACACAAGACATATTTTCCTTTCTTCAGTTCATCCAAATTTGTTTAAAGATAGAGCGTAGCTAGCTAGCTTGATCATCCAGAACCATGCCTCCTCAAGAATACAAATCAGGAACCGTCGTGGCGTCTCCTTCGACTGGATCGTACTGGGATGAACCACCGGAACAAAAGCTGCAAGGCAAGACGTTGTCGACGTTGAGTCTGTCGGGTTTGGAACGTGTGGACCATGACAACGAGCCAGACGTGGTCAAAGAGCCAGAAGTGGTCAAGCCACAACAAGAGAAAAGCGTCAGCGGTGGCTACTGGGATTGGCAAGAGACCATGAAGAAGAGTCTCTCCAAACTCAGCATGTCAGATCTCGTGGGACAAGGCTCTCTCCGAGATTCAGCGGCGACATCTGCTACAGAAGCTTCCACTGTAGTTTCAGACGACAATGCCGAAGCAACCAAAGATGAAAAGAAGGACGGCGAGGACAGCAGCAGCATCAAACGAAGACCCAGCTCTGGCAGTTTTTGGTTCTGGCCCAATGGCTCCATGGCCAACCTAGCACAACAGCAGGACGAGCAAGCGCAAGAGCAAAAGAAGGAGGAAGCACCATCACAAGAAGGAGAAGAACAACAACCCATCACTGTCACGGCACGACGCCCCAGTGGCGCCGGTGGCTACTGGTTCTGGAAGAATCCTTCCACCAACAATCTCACCGAGGGTCAAAAAACCGATTCCTCCGCAGATTTGGAAACCATGCAGAAGAATGCCCGCGAGTCGGATCGAGCAGAAGGACTCAAGGGTCCCATTTCTAACTTGCAGCATCGAATGCGATCCAGTTGGAGGGCATCCTTTCACAAACTCAGCAGCAACTCGCTGTCGGCATTGACGGAAGCAGTGCCTCGCAATAGTAGTGACGACACGACTACTGCTGTGGAAAACAATATCATCAACAAGGTGGCAGAAGGTTGGAAAGAAGACTTTTCCGAGAATAACGCCATGAAGAAACACGACAGCTTTGTGGTCCAGGAAGAAGGAGAAGAGGGCATGACTTTTTAGAACAATAGCAAGAGCAAGCCTCTCAGAAATAGCGAAACGGGAACGAGCTGCCCTAGGAACGAGGTGCAGGATTGAATTGAATGATTCCGCTACACCTTCAATGTTGATGCGTTCATCCATGACTGTTCAGTATTGTCATCTTTCGTGCTATGCTCATGTAACAAAGAAGCTTCATTCAGCTCCAACGACAAATAATGGTAGATTGTACATGTTACTACCAATACATCTAGCTATTGCGTGTTCCTTCTCTTTTCCAGTGTTTCTTCGGGCAACCTGCACAGCCAGAAACCCAAGGTTCCTGTACCTGCATTCGTTACCTCCGCTCCTTGGCCCGAGGAGATGATTGCCGACCACACTCATGCTGCACCCACTTGTATGAGCAGACTAAAGAATGTAACACCCAGCCAGGAAAGCTTTCTTGGCGCTGAAACCGAGGCTGTGTCACCGCCAGTGCTGTCTTGGCCGTTGTTGCCTCCATCGCTCGAAGAGCCAGATCCATCTCCATCTTGGCCGGGAGGTGGGCAATCGGAATCAAGGATCTCGCAAAGATCTGCAGTTGGTAGAGAGGTGCAATTGCAATCCAAGCCACCGACGGTGAAACAAGAAAACTCGGTCAACGTTTCGGGATCAGCCGAACTCAAATCCCAACAGAGCAATCTGTCCAACCAGGACGCATTGTAGAAGGCCCTCGAAAAGTTTTGGACATTGGATGTGTCCCAGGCAGACACAGCACTGTAGGCGAAATTGGTGGAGCTAGCGAAAATCTCCCCCATATCTGTGACAGCGGAAACCTTCCAGTTTGACACATCAGACTGGAAGTTTTCAGCATTCTTGAATGTCTTTGTCATGACATCTACCTGGGAAGTGTCCCAGGAGGACACATCGGCTCCAAAGTTCTTGGAAGCTTCAAAAGTACCAATCATGTTTTGGAGAGAGGGCATATTCCAGCTGGAAACATCAGAGGTGAAGTTTTCAGTTTTGGCAAAGGCTTCACCAATATCCGAAACTCGGGAGATATCCCAGCCAGACACATCTGCCTGGAAGTTCTTGGACCCTCTAAAGATGCCACCGCCAACAATACCCATTTCCGTGACAGAGGAAACGTCCCAGTTGGAAAGATCGGCAGCGAAGTCTACCGTGTACTGGAATGTGCCAGCCATGTCTTTCACTCGGGAAGTATTCCAGGCCGACAGGTCCGAGCGGAAGTTTGTAGTGTACACAGTCCCATCTTCAGGGTACCATGTTCCGGCAAAAAGTTCTAAAAAAGGAATCCACACGCGAAACATCCCATTTGGATACATCAGCAGTAAAATTCTGAGTGTCCTCAAAGGCAAAAACTAGTTGCTTATTCTCGAGGTGTTCCAAGTGGACACGTCTGCTGCAAAGTTGACAGACTGGGAGCAAATGCTGTTCATATCAGATACTCGCGAGGTATCCCAAGTGGACAGATCTGACGCATAGTTTTCTGTCTCTGCAAAGGCACGTTTCAGTGTTGTCACTTGGGAGGTGTTCCAGTTGGATACATCCGCCCCAAATTCCTTTGACCTAGAGAAGATGTCAATCATTTTTGTGACTGATGATACATCCCATTGCGCTAGATCCGCCGTGAAGCCCTCTGCGGCTAGGAAGGCAAGACTCATGTCGGTCACTCCAGAGGTATTCCATAGTTCGATGGGACCTCCGTACATTTCTTCGGCTTCCGTTTGGTCGCTCTGCCAGAGTGCAATGGCAGCTGGGATGTTGTCATTAGTGAGGGCTTCGGAAGCAGCCCAATCCAACGTCAAGAGAGCCAGTAGAAGACCAAGAAGCAAGCCGCGTCATACGCATTTTGTTGGGTCCCTTGGTATCCATCCTTAGTACCATGTTAAGAATTTGTCCTTTGTCGATGTTGGCCGATTGAAAGACGAAGTGAATGACTAGCTAGCTATCCTTTCGAAAACGAAACAAGCATTGGTGTTTTTCAAAGTTTGGAGACGCAGACAGCAGCAATCCCTTCTTGGTGGTACCGGTACATGTGCGTCAGGCCGCAGAAGATCCCATGCATCAACAAGGAGACTTTGGAAAGTCGAAACATCGCGAGTGGGAGCGATATTGGAGGTGTAAAACTGTAAAAGCCAGCAGAGCCATCAATCGCGCTTTGAAAAATTAAGCCAGTAGAGCAATCATTCGATCGCTCAAAGTCCTCCAAAATTAGAAGATCGTCAGATAAGCCATCGCTTGGTACTAGCTAGCTCTAATACTGTATCGGAGTTTTTGGAGTCCCTGCCCCGTTTTTGGAGTCCATTTGGAGTCCCTCCGCCAGCCTGGCCGTAACTGGCCGTTAACGGCCAACTCCAAGAAGAACCAATCGGTACGAGAATAACCTGTATTTTCGCAAAAAGGTGTCATTCTACTATTTTAGTGTAAAACGTTTCCTCTATGTCCGTTGAGTACCGTTAATACTACCGATTTAATAAATTTAGTAACGCTATAACATTTGCTTAAATCTATCCTATTCACGAGTATACGTGAGTGAATGGGTGCAGCAACACCAAGTGCATGTAAGTGCAACCAACACAAAAATAAATTAACTCGACAATGGCGTCCACGGCGGTGCTGTTGCCGCTCCTGTGAGCTCACTTGGTGAGTCCACGCTTCTTGCTGGCCTTCTTTTGGGGGGTCATCTTCACAGCAGACAAGACCTCTTGAGTGAGCCCTTCTTCCTCCACAAAAGAATCGAAAGACTCATCCTGGTCTTCTTTGGTCGCAGTCATTGCCTTGTCATTGCCGAAGATACGAATGGTAACAACAGTGCCCGTCGTGGTGAAGAGAACGATGCAATCAGAGGTAGCAGTGCAAAGGCGCTCCACATCTCCAAGGAATTGACAATAACCAATGAAGTCGACAAACATTTCCTTTGGCCAATAGACAAAGCCCGGAAGAGTGACGAAGATAGTGACGTCTCGGTTGTTTCCAAGATCCTCAACAGCTCGCTCCACTCCGTCCTGAAGCCTCTTCTGTGAAGCTGGTTTGAGGGGCTTGAGCCTCCAAGCAAAGCAAGAAAGAACTGGAGTTGTCTTGGGAGTATCCATCATTGTGACATGACAATCAGAGCTGGACCAATTGATGGTGTTGCCGAAGGCAGGGCGCTTGGTTGGCATTGCAATTTTCATGTTGGCTGTTGGTGGAAGACCACAATGGATTTTCAAGATTGCAGATTGTGGGGAAGAGCTGTCGTCGCATTTGGTTTGAACCAAGTTGGTGGACAGAATTATCATCAAAACCTTGGTTTGAATTTAAATTCGGCGCCAACAACTGCGGTCAACTCGTCAGAAGACACTTCTCTGCCTCACAAATTTGACATCATGATCTTTCGTTGGAATCGTCTTGCTGCTACCTCAGGCAACCTCACTGGTGAGGTGGCAACTCTGGGCAGCGTCTCTCTTGAATTGAAAGGACACAGCGTCTGCAATCCAACCATTGGCCCTGTTGTCCTTGAGCGATTTGCCAACACTCCTCTTTTTCGCATTGCAGTCCTCGATCCCACCTCTACCCACATTGTTGGCACTGTCACCCTTCCTGCGGATAGCCTATGGACGCTCTACAAGCCCATGAAGGTCAAGTCTACAAATGCCGGTCTGAAAGCAATCAAGATTATCATCACCGTTGATTCGATCAAGGAAGGATATGATATGGTCAAAGTGACGTTGCCGTACGATGGAGAACAAGGCAGTGCAGTCCTCTTTGGACAAGCCTTGATTTTCGCTAGCTCTACGGTGACAGAGGCAAATATGTAGCTCTCGCCATGCCGTCTAGATCCAAGATGACAATTGGCTCCTCTGCGCTTCCGGAGTGCCTGACGGAATCGAAATAGGACGTAGAAATTAAGAAACTATATAGCCATTACTATTTTAAGCAGCATTGCAACATGTACTCACTGTAGCATTCGACTCTGACAACAGCAAACGCTTCTTGGAGAAGGAGTGGAGACGACTGTTGCTCTTCAACAGTGTGTTGCCTCCGATGGACGACTGTCGCCCTCGATTTTGCCACCAACTAAAGCTGGCTTATGTTGCCACATCAGCAATGCGTCTTGTAAGACAAACATTATTTATAGCAAAAACGCTGTAGATTTAACATCAAGTTTTGTACTTAAAGCGCGCCTGACGACTTCCTCTTGGAAACCCCAATTCGACAAATTGGTCGATCGCGATTTCAGCTTTCTTTGCCACAAACCTCGTCCACGCTTGTGCAGTCATCAACAAGCCACAATGGCATTGGAGAGAAGAAACGAGTACTGTATGTTATCGTCGTAGGTTTGCATCTGAATCATCATGCCAAAACGGAGGAAGAACGATGATAAGGTGGAGCGGGCTGCGATGCTCCTCAAACTATCAAAGAAAGGGAATCAAATGAATGTCAATGAAGCAATGCGATTTGCTGGCTATCGTGATGATGACATGGGCGACCAGGCTCTCAAGAGGGCAATCTACAGAGCAAGAGATGACATTAACACTCCCAAGAAGCAGTCTGCTGAGCCAGAGGCCGCAGCTGTGACAGTGGCAGTTGCTACAGCTCCTCTTGCCTTGACCGACAGAAGCGCAGTTGCGGTCCCACCAACGTTCCACGCTGCTCCAAATCCCCCAACCAAAATGAGGCTCACTTCGTATCAAGCTCATGGAAAGCGAAAGCAAGAAGCAGGACAGAAGAATCTTCGCAAAGAGCTCTTCGCGAAGGCTTGCAATCTCTGGAAGGAAGAATGTGAGAAGAAGGCAGCTGCCAAAGCTGAGGGCAAAAAGTATCGAGGCAAGTCGGCCGAAGATATCTGCAGTGAAATCAACGCTGAATACGACTTGGATACTCGCATTGCAGCAAGAACGGTTCGAGAGCATGTCAAAGATGGCAGGGCTGGTGGCTTGCAAAGACCAGGACCGAAAGGCAGAATCCAAGAAGCAGATTATCTGGCCCTCTGCAACGCGGTCAAGTCTTTCGCAATACTTTCACAACAAGAGGCAACGAAGGTAACCAACCTCAAGCCTGGACTTGTTCGGAAGGTTAATGCAGTTGTCAATAGCAAAGAAGGGCTCAATAAGAGGTCTGGGAGAACGCTGTATGAGAGGATTGAAAAAGATGTTGCCCATGAGTTAGATCTCGGCAAACCAAATCGCATTGAGCAGCGACGGGCAAAGTGGACTACGTACAGCAACATCAACCAATGGTTCTCTTCGCTGAAGGCTTTCTTGGTCGATTATGGATTCGCGGAGCATGTTCCAGAAGATGAGTGGGGTGAGCGGGGGGAAATCCAATTCTTCGATGGACAAGAGAAAAGAATTGCCAATATGGATGAGTCGCCTTTGACTCTCGACGACACAAACAATGGCAAAGGTGGACGTCCGGCCTTTGGCTTCTATTCAAAACGGCTCTCTGCTGGAGCGACTCGTTCAGCCCACAAAAGCAGCTACAGCGCTACACTTGTGGCAGGCTGCTTTGCAACTGGAGAGTGCTTTCCCTTCCATTTTCAACTGCCAAGTGATGCCAAGGAAGAGAACCAAGGGATTCCTCTTGGATTCATCGAAGATATGTTGGTGACAGAGGCGTCGTATTTGTCTGATCAACCAAAGGAATACTCCTGCACGTATGGTGTCAACGAGAAAGGAGGAATGAATAAGGAACAGTTTGGAGAGTACATGCTGAAGAACTTCTATCCATTGGTTGCCGACGACTGTGCCGACCGCCCACAAAAGAGAGTCTGCATGCTTGTGGATGGCGGTCCAGGCAGGACCAATGGAGATCTGTTGGCTCAGCTACGACAGTTGGGTATCTATCTCTTTCCATCCGGCCCACCAAGCACAACACACGTTCTACAGATAATGGATATGCTATTTGGTCTCTTCAAAACAAGATACTTTGGAAACCTCGAAACCCTTTGGGAGTATCGATTGAATAACCATGAGCTGACAGCAACCATAACACGCATGGATATTGGGGTGCTTGTCTTCGGCAGTGGCCATAGCAAGAAGCAAGAGGAGGATCCAAACTTTCCACTGCTGGCCAATTCTGCTGCTGAAGCCTTTTCTGCTGAACGGATCAGACACTGTTGGGCCGACAAGCTTGGCATTTATCCAAAATTCACAAGGGCTGCTCTCCAAAGCAAACACATTCGGCATGAACAGGTTGTCGATGGAGAGGGCAAGGCGGATGAAGAAGCAGATCCGGAAGCAGCCTATCTCAAGTCTCTCAATGAACTGAATTCGATGGCCTGCACTATCCTAGACGGCTCCGGATACAACTCTGAGCCTCTGCGGATTCAATTGACTTCATTCAGTAGCCAAAAGAGACAAGAAGCTATCCTCAAGCCGAGAACCAGAGAGAGGCAAGATGCAATTGCCAGAGTGAAGGTTGGTGGTGGTCGGTATTTTCAGCTCACAGGCGGAGCGGCTCTCAATGAAGATGACTATTTCATTTCGCTCACCAGGTCAGCACTCAAATCGGATCTAGACAGCATGGAAACCCAAAAGAAGAAGAGGACTGAAGCTGCCGAGAGGGAGGATGCGGCCATGGCTTTGCTGGAGGCAGGCCGCTCAGCTAGGAATAGTGGACAACTCAAGATCCTCATCTCATGGAAACTTGGTCGCCCATGCCCGTCGAAGATATCCACGGTCGCTCAAAGGCAAGCCAAATGGGATGAAGTGAAGGATATTGTCGTCGCTCCGGTGCAGAGGTGGTCCCCGGAGGAAGAAGCAGAGCTCCAGCGAGTCAAGCAGAAAATTGACAACATTACAGTTGATGACACTCTCCTTGGAAGACAGCGACAGAAGATGCAAACTGAAGCCTTGTCGACCGTCAAGGCAATGTCGGCAACTGAACGGGAGCAGTTCCTTCAAAGTCTGGACGAAGGAGACAATGAAGAAGCGGACAATGGCGACTCTGTGGAGGTTGTGGAGGGAGGTGGCAGCAGTCAGTGACAAGAGTGACAGAAAAGAGGTTGCCTGGATGGTGCTCTATCCTCAACAAGAGCATCACTTCAATAGTATGACAGAGTTTCTATTATCTTGGGAGAGAGTTGTCGGCCATGGCACAGCCAGAAGTGGTGTTCTAACACGTAATATTAGGTGAGTTGGTTTGGTGGGGCGGTGGTGCACTATTCTTGCCCCTATTTCTGCAATTTTGGGGTATCAACTTCTCACCTTTTCCCGCGCATTTTACCAGTAATCCAGAAATTGTCGCCAAAATATGGGTAATTCTCGTACTACCAATGCTGTATACACACACACCAAGAATCCAAAGCAACGTACAGCACTGGATGCAACGTCTCTGTATACAGAATTCCGATGTCACCTGAACGATCGATGGCCACCAACAATCGATGCAGTACCGACGACAGCCAACTATCACAACAACAACAACAACAACAACGGTCGATCCAAACTCCCTCTCTCTCTCTCTCTCCGACGCCAAATCCAACGGCGATCGTACTCCGTACTCCACTTTAGTTCCCCCCCCAAAAAGGGTCGATCTCCTCCAACCCTCTCCTCTGCCTCCACCGAGTGTCAACAACGAAGCGCCCCTTTTTCGATCGCTCAGGCATCACAACAACGAGTTAAACAACGGCTCATTTCCAAAGCCTACACTATCGATCCGGAGAGACTACTTCCAAGCGACCGCCGCCGCACCACCATGTCCGACGACGAAGAAGCTCCCGTCTTCTACGCCGACGCCCGAGATGATCTGAACGCCTCTGCTGCAAACAAGGAACGATTGGCCTTGAATCACTTCTCCTATTTCCTCAAAGGATACTGCACCCAAATTGGAATTGACACTGTCGAACCTGATGACATTCCCTATCGAGGTATTCCCCGCAAGTCAAGCAACAAGTTACTCTTTGAATTTTGGGATTTGATGATTGGTGCATTCGTTACTTACATGGGGAATCATGCAAGGTATGAGTGCAACCCAGAGAAGCCTCGTCTTAAACGCGGCACGGCGGCCCAGTACTGCTCCTCTGTCAGAGGCTACTTCAATAACAAGTTCCGACGGGAGCAGCCCATTCCCGTACTCCACGACGACAAACAGTGGAAGAAGTTGATGACCAAGCTCCGTGGGAAGTATCGTGAGGCTAATCGAGCATCTGGCAAACCCGCTGTCGAAGGCAACGAGTCAAGCACCCGTGAGGACCGCGAATGGTTGGCAACAGGTTGCATTTGGGACGGCACAATGGAAACCGCGGAATTCTGGCACCTGCTCAACACTACGTATCACTGCTCGGGAAGAGGATCAGAAGTTTCGTTGTGTAAGCCCGAGGATGTAAGACCTGCGGAAGCGGATGAAGGCATCCACCAGTACCACATCCTCCAAGTCGAAGTCCAAAGACAGAAAGATGGCCCCCTCCAGAACATCGCAATATATCCACACCGTGATGGCATTCTCGAAGACTATTATTTCAGCCTCATCTACCTACTTGTAATGACCGGATGCAACAACCAGTTCGTTTTACCAACCTTCGCTGCCGCCGCATTGAAGACCAAGTCAGGGAAATCCAACAGTCAGGTCTCCTCCCTCTGGTCCGGTCTGTTCGCTGACATCCGAAACAAATTCGAATCCCTCAACACTCAAGTCAACGGTAACCTGTCCTCCCATTGCAATAGAGGAGGATCCAATCAAGTGGTTGTGGAAACTCCTGGCCTGTCACTGGCGGCGGTATTCCGCACCGGTTGGGCGAACCGTGGCCGTGACACCCTCTGGTAAGTCACCCGTGTTGCGTTGGAATCCATTCTCGAGTTTTTCAATCTGACCCAATCCAGGGAGTATATCTCCGATTCCTTCGTGTTATCTAAACAGGCTGGGAAGGCCCTGTCGAAATGGACACACCGGATTGGAGACGTTATCTACGGCGGCCAGCCCCCAACCTACGCTGACATCGGCGGCTACCACGGCCCCCCTCCCTCCCCACAGGAAGACCTGCCAGCAGGTGCACTCGTTGACGGAAGCCGTGAGAAACTCCAACAGTTCACCACTGTCCTCTTTGAAGATGACACAGACAGACTCTGGCATCCTCGCGTCCGGGAACTGCTTGTGACGACTCTGTTGTTGCGTTACGACCAGTTCTTAGCTGTGTTAAGAAGGCATCCAGACGCATACATCACAGACGCATTTAGGTTTTACAATCCAGAAGACCCCCAATTCGATATTGACCGGTCCCGTGATTACACGACTATCCGGAACCACCTCTTTGTATGTCGAGTCGAACGGGCCTTGGAAAAAGCAGGGGTGGACAAATTCACATTCGATGACTGGTGCAAATGTGCGCGCAGTGCTTTCGTCGAACGCAACCTCATTGCAATCCCAGACCTCTCCTTATACGGCGCAAACAACAAGAGGATCATGTTAGATCCGCGATGCTTCATTGACCATATGAACAGTATCGCCGCCGTGGCCCAGTCGAACCACCAGGTTGCTCAACAGCTGCGCCGTCAACTGACCGACATGCAGGAGACAATGACCCACAGCTTGAGCGAGAACTCCCATCTCCGTATGAATCAGCGGACCATGCTGTCTTCCATCCAGAGGATTGAGAATCACCTCCTAGGCAAACGTCCTGAAACTGTGTCGCCTTCCCCGCTTCCAAAGGTAGACCCGTTCACTGTCAACAGCAAAGGCATCCAAACTCGCCCTATGACTGATGTATTTGTCCGTTTTTTCGACGAGGACTTTCGGGCCGGCTTCGAATTAGACAAGAGGAGTGAAGAATGGAAAGATGATATGGAAGAAAAAGACAGGAAAGTGTACAAGAACTTGTTCGCCAAGGTCAAGCGTGCGGTCAGATTCTTCCTCTTCCATGTAGACAAATTCCCGTTAGTCCCTGACGACCCGTCGAAATACAAAGAAGTCCTTCGAAGAACAGCCGCCGACGCAGAAGAGCGCATCCGCCATACACTTGAATTCGGAGACAAGAAGATCAGTGCTTATACCCTTGTCAACCACCCCAACATCAAAGACCTAGAGAACAACATGAATCTTCCGGTAAACACCCCCGAGGACTGGCAGAAGTTTTTCAAAACTAAAAGCTAGACAATTCGTACTTAATTTTTAACAAGGTTATCTTCCTCATCTTCTTCTTTCTCATCGGCCAAATCGATAGGATTACTCTGCGTCCCATCCTCTTCTTCGTCGCCTCCTCCTGCTTCATCCCCTTCTCGGCATGAATAGCAATAGTCGCGACCCTCATCCCACCAAGTAGCACAACTAGGACACCAATCCTGCCCGCATCCCGTGCAATGATTATTGTCTAACAAATACTCTTCGCCACAATTCACACACGTGTATAGGTTCTTGCGAAGGAAAACCATAATAATCGATTTAATGAGCACCCATAATCGAACTCCTGTTGTTGATGCCGATCGAATTGATCGGCGACCGATTGAGACTACGGGAGTTTGTTGTCGATGCTGAGTTTGTTGTCGATGCCGATCGATCTCTTCTTGTTTCTGAAGCCCTTCTGATGACAGAAAAAGACGGTACATTACAGGACTTGTTCGTCGCGTTCTTCTATCGTCGCTGTATGGAAGGGTACATGTTTGAGTTGCAAAGTCCGGAGTACCAATCGAAGCTAAAGAGTGAGCAGAGTCAGGTGAAGAATCAATACAAGCGTTTGAAAAAAGCCATCAAAGTAATGCTGTTCTTCTGTGAAGCTTATCCCGACCCAGCCCCTGATGATGTAGAAGGATTCAATACTTGGCATAAGAAACTTGCCGCAACTGCGGAGCAAGCCCACCATGAACTTGTAGCGGCTCTAACCGAATCAAACTGCAACCCACCGTCGAACGACATAGTTTATTCAAACTTCCTTACTCGTACTACGTAGTACTCCATAGATCATAATTGTACGTCTTGTTGGTGTTGGCTTTAACGATCACCCGACCCTTAAGTCACTTCGGCCCACCTCATGTGGGCGGACCCAAAGATTTCTCCTTATGTTACAGTTTTCGTGTGGGCCGTGGGCCGCGATATTTTTAGTCTGTTAGACCTGGTACAAAACCCTACGCATGCACGCCGGCCGATGCGGCCCACACCTTGTGGGCCGCGGGTCGCTAGCTAGCATGTGGGCCGCTGGAGGCTTCCCGGAAACTCACTACTTTATATTACGAGTTTCCGGGTAAGCCCCCCCGGCGACTGAGGGGATTCCGGGTTCCCCGACCTTTCCCTGTGCCCCGTCCTGATTCTTCAGCCCTCGCGGCGCCTGAGCGACCATTCAACCCATTCAACCATTCAGCCCATTCAACCCATTCAGCGCATTCAGCCCATTCAGCGCATTCGACCCATTCAGCCCATTCAGCCCATGCCCGTATGCCCGCCATTCCATCCAACAAGCGTAACTTCCATTCAATTCCAGCGCGTATACATTCGCAACCCCCCCCCTAACACCTCCTCCAACCCGTTCAAACAACTATTCAGCAAATCAACTTATGTTTTACTGTGAACTAACTAGAGCAGGCTGCCCCTCAACAACCTCGTCAATCTCTTCCTCGTTTCCTTCATCCTTAACCCTCCTTAGCGCGAGATCAGCTTCTTCCTCCACCTTTCGTAGTTTGATATTTTTCATGTGGTCGTTCCGCAGTTTCTTCCTGTCCAGATGAACCCGCTTCTTCTTCGCCTCCATTCCCATCGCAAATCCTAAGTTGTTATGTTCGTCCCTCTGCTCCTGTGTCAAATTCCAATCGCATTCCTTACACGGATCCGTAAACATGGTCGCAATACGATGATATTCCTCACGGTTATCCCTCACCCAGCGAGAAAACGCTTCGAAAGTCATCTGATTCTTAACCCAAGTTTTGGTGTGTGCGTGCCAACCATCAGAGTTAATCTTACTCGCTTGTGGGTTTACAGCAGCAACCTTCAATTTTTTCTTAAAGGATTCCATGTATATTGCACCAGGCTTCTTAGGCTTGCCATCACAAGGTGCCGCCGCGCAATAATCTTCGAAATGAAACCAGTCCGGGTTCGATTTCTCTTTGGCGACCACTTCGTTGTGAATATCCACCCATTCCCTCGTGGTCAGTAATTTAAAAGGAGCTTTCTCAGGGCCCTCTAGTCGAACGCAAATGGTCCGATCTAAAGACAACCGCCCAGGAAAAGGCGGATCATTCGATAGCAGTACAACAAACGAGGCATCCGATTGAATTGCATCACACTCATATTTGGTAGCCGGGACACGCCCATTCAGAATATTCTCCACTAGTTTCGAAATCGATTTTGCATTGTTTTCGGACCTGCTAGCGTCAATGATAATAATCTCAGAGTCTTCCAGCTCAGCCCTAGCCGAATCAACCATGTCTCCATATTGTCCCGCAGCGTCAATGAGACACAGCTTGGAACCAAAATACGTTTTCAATATCGCAGCAAACCAACTTTTTCCCGCATTACCATGCAAGTCATACAGATGTAAATACGTTCGATGATCACCCTCCATAGCAAACAAGTAAGCAGTAACAAACGATTGCCAGACGTAAAGAAAATCAGAGTACGTGCATCGATACTCCTTCGTCATCTTCAATAAATGTCGAATCTGACTTGATTTTCCAATCAACCTAGGATCAAGTTGCACCAACTTCCTCTCATCTCGAATCCCATCCACTCTAACAAGATGGTTAAGTCGATCTTGCCAAGTATGTTTCTCCGCATTCACGCTACCTTTCTCAGCAAGTAAAGGATCGCCCAACACCTGAACAGGTAAGCTTCCCTGATCCATTTTGTTGAGATAATTCCACGCCCGAATCCAGTTACGTGCTACAAGATGCTTCCCGTCGACAAACCCCCACCGTTTCTTCAAGAATTGAAACATTGCATTCTGTGTCCTACGATGGTCGCGATCGAACTTATAGATAACATGGAAGTGACACCTATGATTCTCCTTTCCCCATTCGACGACCCATGATAGATGACTCAAGCCCTTCATGGTCTGACCTTTGGTATAACGAAGCGCCCATTCATCCTTCAATCTAGACTGAGTTTTAGCAATAAATTCTTCATCGGTATCCCCACTATCGTCCTGTTTATTAATAGTATGAAAAAAGGCTTGAAATTTAGGATTCTTTTGTTTCTTTTTCGAGTCAGCAGGCACCTCGGCAATTGCATCTAATTCAGCGTCAGAATCTCCCTTCTCGTCTAGTGTTTCCGTGGCAACAGTTGTCACATCATCGTCAAGTCCAACCTCCGTCGTCAAACCCGTTGCCACCGTCTCATCATCGTCAATGTTCAATTCTGTTACCGACATCCCTTTTGTTTCTTAAAAAATGACTACATCATGACACCTCCCACCAGCCCGCTCTGTTGGAAGAATTCAGCCCGCTCTGTTGGAAGAATTCTTATCAAGTCCGCACGGCTCAGGTCGGCGCTTAACGCCCGGCGCGCAACTCAAGCACATCATCCCTTCTTAATTGTCCCATATAATCTGAAGTGAACGAGACGCAAACATGCGACTACATTCAACAAACATCGACAATGACAAACCAACGCTTCATTTCCTACTAAAATACAAGACAGGCGAAAATACCACTAACCAATGCCGTTTAATCCAGTCCGATTATCTCCGAGGATTGATAATGCATGAAGGAAAAAAGCAATACATTTACAGCCTGATTGAACTGAAATCCCCTACTTCCAAAAAAATCCTGAGCGAACTGTATTCACCTGACGAAATATTTCCGATTACAAACCCAACCAACGCATACGCAAAGCTCGTCTCATCCAGCGTCAATACACAAGGTGAAAGTCTCCTAAGAGGCTCCTTTTCAGTAACGGGTTTAACACAACTCTTCTATTATTTCTCGACCCATATGAAGAACAACCCAACCACCACCAAGATTCAACTCCGCAAAACACCAGTGTCTTAATGTCAAGGACTGTCGTCTTTTATTTCTCCTTGTCTTTCTTTATCCTCGAGATCTTTTTTATCTATAGAATCAAGTAATATCTTGATAACAAATTTAGGGTCGCCAGCAAAGGACTTAAGCTTCTTAATTGAATTACTCCCAATGTGTGGCAATCGACCAGTGACCTCCAAATCCCTGTCAATATGGACAAGTCGACACAAGCTCACCATATCTCCAAAATAAGAAGGTTTACACGTGGAATATCTTCCCAGAAGGCTTTTAGCATACTCTTGTTTACAAGGCGAGTTAAGGTTCATATACCCCCTCAACATCAAACACTTCCCAGTCCGATTCTCATCCTTGGCAATACAAGAAAACTGAGCCTTGTTCTCGAATAACCGCTTAAGATATGCAAGAGCATCATTACGCTTTTCTTCAGCCCAGTCTCTCCCACGAGCCCCGTCGTCCTTAAAATTAAAGTAAAGGTTGAAAACGTACTGTTTCGTTGTTCCCATATTTTTTTTCAGTGTAATTTTAACCTGAAATGCAAATTTCAATTTTATGAGTAGTAAAGTAAATCCTTCCGGTTTTTTTCATCTCGACAATGACGGACAATTTATGCCTTCGCCGTGGTTACATGTGCAGTTGCCAACAGTGTACCCCTTGGATTAATAAATGGAACAAAGAATTGGAGGCCTTTGCAATTATCGACACCTTAATGGAGAAAGGAGAGTCACTGTTCCACATTTATGAAAGGTTGTCAGCCGAACACCCAGAGATTCTGCAGGTGCACTACAAGTTCATCGAAGATAAATACATCGATTACAAAAAGTCTCTTGAACCTCCAAAGACTCGGATCCAATTAAAGTGTTCCAAACCGCCACCCCCACCTCCTCCTCCTCTGCCTAGTTCTCCAAGCCCTCCTTCGCCACTGCTGTGAGTTTGGAGATGACCCTGTGGGAAATTGAAACATTCATGACTCAGTCTGGGATGACAATAAAAGACATAAGACAAATAACAGAGCCAGACCTTGTGGGCAGTGACAACAGTTTTGGTTTAAACCCACAATTCCCACGCAAACCCATCACCGCCACAGACATCTTAACAATATATTTTGGAAAGAATTGGAAAGAATTAGTCCACCATGCCAGACCCAGACCAAGAGGAGCCGATTGCTGATGGCGTGCCAATGACATTGGATCAAATGCGCGACTATTTACAACACATGTACGGTTTTCCGGTGGTGTTGCGTCAGAAAGGATCATGTGTCCGTGTTGTGACAAGAATCACACTCATGACCCAGGAACAGGTCATCACCCTGCCCAGTGCGCAGAAGAAGATCGCTGCAAAGGAATCTTGATTGGCGATCGAAGTTTTATTCCCGCCTATGGTTACACCATACTAGAGTACCACGAAGAAGTCGGACCGATTAGTCATGTTTACTATAGAAAATACAGTACTATACTACCTCTGTAGCGTGCAAGTACAAATCCTACAGCCGTGTAGAAAGCCTACGTGCAATGTACATACACGTTGCACGTAGGATTCCTACAAGGCTGTAGAAAGCCTACGTGCACTCTACATACCTAGTGCACGTAGGATTTCTACAGCGGTGTAGAAATCCTACGTGCAACGTGTATGTAGCCCTCTACACGCTTGCACGTAGAGCGCGGTGCGCGCGAATCGAGTCGTGTCACACCTATTTTTAAGATAACACATATTTTCTTCCCACCCTTGTTTTAAGATACTTCGAAAGGGTACGAATCGTACATACATGTACAACCGTACCTACATGTACTTGTACATAATCCCCTCTGGAGTGCATTTGACTGGTGACTTTTACGGGTACCACAACTCAAAACATGTGCAACTAGATGCTCTTGCCCAGACTAGCTTAACCTCCTCCTTCTCCCCTCTGGACCCCTTCAACTAATCACTTTTACGGGTACCACAACTCAAAACATGTGCAACTAGATGCTCTTGCCCAGACTAGCTAACCCTCCTCCTTCTCCCCTCTGGAGCCCCTTCAACTAATCACTTTTACGGGTACCCAAACTCAAAACATGTGCAATAGATTTGCCAGACTAGCTTAACCCTCCTCCTTCTCCCCTCTGGAGCCCCTTCAACTAATCACTTTTACGGGTACCAACTCAAAACATGTGCAACTAGATTCCTTGCCCAGACTAGCTTACCCTCCCTTCTCCCCTCTGGAGCCCCTCAACTAATCACTTTTACGGGTACCACAACTCAAAACATGTGCAACTAGAGCTCTTGCCCAGACTAGCTTAACCCTCCTCCTTCTCCCCTCTGGAGCCCCTTCAACTAATCACTTTTACGGGTACCACAACTCAAAACATGTGCAACTAATGCTCTTGCCCAGACTAGCTAACCCTCCTCCTTCTCCCCTCTGGAGCCCTTCAACTAATCACTTTTACGGGTACCACAACTCAAAAACATGTCAACTAGATGCCTTTGTCAAACTAGCTTAACCCTCCTCTCTTCTCCCTCTGGAGCCCCTTCAACAATCACTTTTACGGTACCACAACTCAAACATGCAACTAGATGCTCTTGCCCAGACTAGCTAACCCTCCTCCTTCTCCCCTCTGGAGCCCCTTCAACTAATCACTTTTACGGTACCACAACTCAAAACATGTGCAACTAGATGCTTTGCCCAGACTAGCTTAACCTCCTCCTTCTCCCCTCTGGAGCCCCTTCAACTAATCACCTTTACGGGTACCACAACTCAAAACATTGCAACTAGATGCTCTTGCCCAGACTAGCTTAACCTCCCTCCTCCTCCCCTCTGGAGCCCCTTCAACTAATCACTTTTACGGTACCACAACTCAAAAACATGTGCAACTAGATGCTCTTGCCCAGACTAGCTTAACCCTCCTCCTTTCTCCCTCTGGAGCCCCTTCAATAATCACTTTTACGGGTAACACAACTCAAAACATGTGCAACTAGATGCTCTTGCCCAACTAGCTACCCTCCTCCTTCTCCCCTCTGGACCCCTTCAACTAATCACTTTTACGGGTACCACAACTCAAAACATGTGCAACTAGATGCTCTTTCCCAGACTAGCTTAACCCTCCTCCTTACTCCCCTCTGGAGCCCTTCAAATAATCACTTTTACGGTACCACAACTAAAAAACATGTGCAACTAGATGCCTTTGCCCAGACTAGCTACCCTCCTCCTCTTCTCCCCTCTGGAGCCCCTTCAACTATAACTTTTACGGGTACCACAACTCAAAAAACATGTTGCAACTAGATGCTCTTGCCAGACTAGCTTAACCCCTCTCCTTCTCCCCTCTGGAGCCCCTTCAACTAATCACTTTTACGGGTACCACAACTCAAAACATGTGCAACTAGATGCTCTTGCCCAGACTAGCTTTAACCCTCCTCCTTTCTCCCCTCTGGAGCCCCTTCACATAATCACTTTTACGGGTACCACAACTCAAAACATGTGCAACTAGATGCTCTTGCCCAGACTAGCTTAACCCTCCTCCTTCTCCCCTCTGAGCCCTTCAACTAATCACTTTTACGGTACCACAACTCAAAAACATGTGCAACTAGATGCTCTTGCCAGACTGCTTAACCCTCCTCCTTCTCCCCTCTGGAGGCCCCTCAACTAATCACTTTTACGGTACCACAACTCAAAACATGTGCAATAGATGCTCTTGCCCAGACTAGCTTAACCCTCCTCCTTCCCCTCTGGAGCCCCTTCAACTAATCACTTTTACGGTACCACAACTCAAAACATGTGCAACTAGATGCCTTGCCCAGAACTAGCTTAACCCTCCTCCTCTCCCCTCTGGAGCCCCTTCAACTAATCACTTTTACGGGTACCACAACTCAAAAACATGTGCAACTAGATGCTCTTGCCCAGACTAGCTTAACCCTCTCCTTCTCCCTCTGGAGCCCTTCAACTAATCACTTTTACGGGTACCACAACTCAAAACATGTGCAACAAGATGCTCTTGCCCAGACTAGCTTAACCCTCCTCCTTCTCCCTCTGGAGCCCCTTCAACTAATCACTTTTACGGTACCACAACTCAAAACATGTGCAACTAGTGCCTTTGTCCAGACTAGCTTAACCCTCCTCCTTCTCCCCCTCTGGAGCCCTTAATAACACTTTTACGGGTACGACATCATCAAACATGTGCAACTAGATGCCTTGCCCAGACTAGCTTAACCTCCTCCTTCTCCCCTCTGAGCCCCTTCAACTAATCACTTTTACGGGTACCAAACTCAAAACATGTGCAACTAGATGCTCTTGCCCAGACTAGCTAACCCCCTCCTTCTCCCCTCTGGAGCCCTTCAACTAATCACTTTTACGGGTACCCACAACTCAAAACATGTGCAACTAGATGCTCTTGCCCAGACTAGCTTAACCCTCCTCCTTTCCCCTCTGGAGCCCCTTACTAATCATTTTACGGTACCACAACTCAAAACATTTCAACTAGATGCCTTTGTCAGACTAGCTTAACCCTCCCTTCTCCCCTCTGGAGCCCCTTCAACTAACACTTTTACGGGTACCACAACTCAAAACATGTGCAACTAGATGCTCTTGCCCAGACTAGCTTAACCCTCCTCCTTCTCCCCTCTGGAGCCCCTTCAACTAATCACTTTTACGGGTACCACAACTCAAAACTGTGCAACTAGATGCTCTTGCCAGACTTTAGGCTTAACCCTCCTCCTTCTCCCCTCTGGAGCCCCTTCAACTAATCACTTTTACGGGTACCGTACCACATGTCTGAAGGCAATGTCAGCAAACTAATCAACTAATAATAATTAAATTAATTCAGCTACCTTCGGCAGCGCGGTCGCAACCGGCTCGCCGGTTTGATCGTGTGGACCGTTGCGCGCGCGCCAGAGTTCGCATTAGAGCACAGTGTCTGCTGCTTCGTTGACTCCATATTTCTCGCAGTAAGCCTGCGTACATACAGTACAACCAAAGCAAAGACCGTGAAAGCAGCAGCACCAAACAAACCACCACACCACCATGAGCAGCACTTCCGACACCCCGAAGCTTGGGATTAAGGAGAGAGGGGGTTCACAACTGCATCCAAGCGAAGGATCTGGGTTGGGTGACACATTTGAGACCTCAAAAATCAAGGGCCCCGGGTTGGAATCGGTTTATCTTTCTGCGCTCCCTGTCAAGACGCCTGTCAAGACACCCCCAAAGACCAAGAGAGGAAGCCCGAAAGATTCGCCTAAATCCCTATCAAGTGAGGAAACTCAGACAAGCACAGCAACAGACGCCACCACCGCTTGCAGTTTAGGCTCAGTCGCAGAGCTACCCACGTTTGCCCACGACGACGAATACAATCAAGACGGGCTCCCTGGAAATATCAAGACCACGTACTACGTGAAAGAAGCAGATCTCGTGAAAGATCTTGAGAAATTTGGGTTGTTGGACGACTACAAGTATATTGCTCTCACAGAAGTGCACTGTGGACGTGCGTACCGTTTAGAAATGCCTACTGATTTTCATGAGCAAACATGTCGAGGGCTGGGAGCTCAGATCTCGACTAAATGTGGTTCTGGCCTGCTTTGGATGACGAATTCCCAAATCCACTTCTCAGATGGTTCTACAAGATTCCCTGATTTGGCTATCTTTGGGGAAACAAGGGTGGATGTTGATAAAACAACAGGATTGAAGGATCCCAAGCGAGAGGAGTGCAAAGAGCTTGGGTGTAATTCATATGTAAATCCCCATGTATTGATCGAGTTTAGCTGGACACACGAAATGAAGGTGGAGGTCCCGAAGTTCGTCAAGCAAATGGAAGAGCATCCACAAGAACTTGGACGAATCAATGTTGGCTTTCTCATCAAGACCATCCCTACCAACAGCAGCAAGGATTATCCCAAATTTGGCGACCTATCCAACCCTATTTGCGGGTTTGATGTCTACGAGTTTCGTGGTGAGAGATGTGAAATTGTGAATGGCGAGCCCACTTCCAAGTACCGTGTGGGTGTCAACGAGGAAACGTACTTTGAAATCAGGGACGAGGATCTGGGTCGTAACGGGGAGAAGTCGTATAGATTCCCTCTCGGATACATTCGAGAGAGGCTTGAATCATTGGAGGTGAAGTTTGAAGAGAAGCAGAAAAAGTGAAAGATCAATGTATATGCACAAGTGGACTTGTCGCCAAACAGACAAATCTGGTGGGCGCTTCCAAGATGGAAAAGATCGTGGAGAATCTGGTCAGGAAGGAATTGCTTGCGAGGTCGACGCCTCGGCTTAACGTTTTTGGACCACGATGATTTCTACTCCTAGTAAAATTCACAATTCTTTTGAAATGAGGTTGCAGGTATTACATGTTTCGTTCATTGCAACTTCTACACCCTTGCCCTTTATGCACCAATAGGTCGCAGGCTTGTCTACTGTCAACCCCTATGCCAGGTGTCACATATCTAATATACGGCAAGGAAGTAGGATCTTCAGGCACACCACATCTTCAGGGAACTGTTTGTTTCCAATCCCGGAAGAGACTGTCGCAAGTCACAGCTGTCATAGGTCAAGCGCATTGCACAGTTACGAGGTGTCTGTCGCAAAGCATTGATCCAGTGTCACTGGCATCCGCTCTAGTAGTCCCACATAGCTATCCTGGAGGGTCCCGTAAACCTGAATCGTGGAAAATTCAGGTCACTTGCAGGTCACTTTCAGTTATCTGAATTCAGGTGAATTAAGATTCAGGTCACCTGAGTTCAGATCAGTGACCTGAATCGTGACCTGAATTCAGGTTTTCTAGTTGTTTAACACGCAGTCCCGTGTATGAATTCAGTTCATTATGACCTGAATTCAGGTACTCATATCTGAATTCAGGCATATTCAGTTATGACACCTGAAAATTCAGAAAGTTCAGTCTTATCAGTCAGTTCCAGTCATTTCCTGGACCCTCCAGTCCCGGTTGTCAGCGAGCATCCGACAATTAATTCTCTTACTATTTAACCCCGACCCTAAAAACAGTTAGAAAGCGAGCCGAGCCTGTGTATTGAAACTCTCACATTTTGATTTGGAGTCCCCTGGAGTCCGTCAAAGACTCCAAAACCGGGTAATACCACTCTGTATTGACCTCTTGACGAAAGCTTTCACAAGGTTCTATCAGTATTCGCGTAACACCTCGCGTTTTGCTCATCATCCACTTGCCGTAAAGCAACCCTCCCTGAGCAAACGGTGCTGTCTTTGGAATGCATCTATCTGCACGGTATGCAGCACCCATCCCAACATTGCTTCACACCGACACCTTGCTTCACACCGACACCTTGCTTATAGAGCGAGCAACTCGACGCCAGCGCAAGCAATGAGTCAGGCTTTCGCTCCCTGGATCTTTTTGAATGGTACGCCGTTTGTACCGCAATCAACAAAGAGCGAACCTATTCCGCCTGAGCATTGTTGTAACGATTTAGATACCCAGCACCCACAGCATCGTACAATTCGAAGTGTTCCCCAAGCCCAGCTCGATCTTGCTACGTGACATTCTCTGCTTGGAAACATCTAAGGTGGCCAGTGCACCAAATCCGGTTGCTTGCCGAGGCAAAAGGGATGCTGATTCTATTGTTATAGCAGGATGTGTACCCTGCTACTTTAGATGTGTAAAAGTGTCCTCCTAACCAAATCTAACCCACTGTAGTTTCTTACTTTTGCAATATCTATTTGTCTTGTACTTCCTCTATTCCAAATCGGATGCCCTTATCGGTGAAAGGCGTGATGTCGTGATGTGCTGTATGCAGGGTCTATTGCATATTTATTTGTCTTGTAGTTTCTCTATTTCAATTCCGATATTCAGATGCCATTCTCGTTGAAAGGTGTGATGTGCTGTATGCAGGGTCTTTTGCATAATATTATTATTGCACTAGCTAGAGTCGAGTCTCAGTCGCGTCGATGAGACGGGCTATCATGTCCCAGCGATACAACCTCTAATTGTTGCTTGCTGTTGCTTCCGGTGTGGTTGTTCCTTGCCGGTTCGTTCCTTGCCCCACGCACTGCAATTACAGTGTACAGAGCTTCCACAGTGTACAAAGCTTCCACAGTGACTTCTCCAAGAAAATCTTCGAAAAAGGCCATTATCTTTGCTGTGCCTGGCAAGCTTGAAGTTGGTCGTGATCTTATCATAGGAGCGCCTATGATTTAAGAGTCCCTTTTTCTGCCAGTTTTTTGCATTACTGGGGCAAATGTCCTTGGTCGTGATCTTGGTGGGGTTAAATGATAATATTTACAAATGGTTAATGCTTTGAATACCGGTAGACATTGGTTCTCTTGTTGGCTCTTGTCGATTTGTCAAAAGCTGCTTGTGCAGTGTCATCTCGGCAATTTATTTTTGTAGCGCAGCGCGAAGCTTGTGTAAAAGAAGGCACGGTGCAAACGAATGAAATAATGAGCTCTTGATTGAATGGTCTCATAATTCGATCGAGCTACGAATGAATAGTAACCATCAATAAAAGGGACTAGCTATCTGAAGGCTTCCTGCAACCACCACAAGATCCAGACAAACACAAATAATGATGATTCACAATAGTATGCAAGAGCACCACACACCCCGCCACTCCATGATGAGCCAAACCGATCAGTCCTTGAAGACCCGGGCTTCAGTGAGCACCGCCACTACCGATGTGCTTTCGTCGTTCAACGAATCCTTTGTGACGAGTGGCAGCGCTAGCCACAATTTCAATGATTCGTTTGTCGCGCACTCCACTACGGATGAACTGTTGGAACAAATGGAATACAATCGCAAGACGACCAAGCGCAACATGCGCGCTCGTCACAACAACAACAACAACAACAAACACAATAGCCAACAAACAACCAAGGATGTCCCTACCATGGTGGTGATTGGAACTCCCAGTTTTCCCGTCGATGCGCCTCGCACTCGCAGCCCGCGCAGCAACAACAGGAGTATGGGCAGCCAGAGCTACACCAATCGTCAACGCTCTCCTCGCCCCCAACCACTGACACGAGGACAGCACATGCCCCGCAATACGCCCCGTCGTTGCAAGACATCCGAAGTCAACAACCACCAAGCTCGTTTCTCGACACCCATGACGAGCCACAGTTTTGGCAGTCACGATGCCCGTCTGCGTGTACAAGCGCAACCACAACAAGCACCCAAACAGGAGAGTGTCTTGACCCGCATCAGTCGCTCCCTCAGTCATTCCAGCACCAGCAAAAAGTGCATGGCGCATGTCAGTCGTATTACTACACAAGACGAAACCACCAAACACATGACACTCCTCTTGTTGACCAGTCGCGTCTGTGTGCAACCAAATCAAGACACCGTATCGTTGTACACGGACCAACACCGCAAACATCCCGGAACCTTTACGATTGTTTCCCAGTGTGCCAATACCGTCGAAATTGCCGTCACTCGTGACGACAGCGACAACGCCATGGCGCAATTCTTGTACCATCAAGGCACCGAGGGAATGAAACTCAAACTCATTTAGCTTGACAAAAAGGGAACAAGGGGGCTTGGCGTATCGTAGTTTGAAAATCTTCTAATAGTTAAAAAGAACAGAAGTTACTACTTACATGAACTCAAATGGAACCGTCTGCAGTCATTCGTTGTTAGTTAGTCGCTACTAGCTAGCTAGTGTTGTTAGCAAGCGCAAAGTTGCTCTCTGTTTCTTGGCATATCTTTGGTGGTCAGCCAGATCAGCCAGCCATACAGTACAATAGTATTGGATCGAATCGTTTTCCTCGATCGGAAGGTTTTGGGGCGGGGTGATGCTGGGCTGTGCCATGGCTGGTTGGGGTCCGGCAAAACTGGAACAGAATGCAAAACAAATGCACCGTCGAATGCAAATCAAATCAGGTGCCGCCATGCACCGCATCCTACTGTAGGTACTGTACCGGTACCACTCCCAAAGCATGATGCTTTGTTATGTTGTGCCCTGGCTGACTGTATCATTGTTCCAAAGGACGAGCAAGCATCACACGGGTCAAAAGCGCTTGACTTGACTCACTCGGCCATTCCGTGTTCTACCATGGCATTCGCGTCTCGGCTTCCTCCTTACAATTGAATCGAATCATTCGATTGGTTTCATCATTCGATTCATCATTCGACTCCACTCCACTCCACTCGACTACGACTCGCCACCTCCTCGCCTGATGAGGATTCGCCTCCGATTATTCTCCTTCTTCTGAGAGTCTTTTAGTTAGTTAATTAAGAACTCTGCATTCTTGATGAATGTGCTGCCAAGGCATTTTTCTTGTTGCTCGTGGTACAGTAATAAGTTTCATACTCGGAACCGGGACCTGTACCCGTACGGCATGGGTGCGGTCACACATCCAGATTCAAGGAAGCCCCAAGGAGACAATAGTGTGCGGGGGGACTGGATGCGTGTTTTGTTGTTTGCTCATCTTTATCGTCTCTCGAACAGTTCGTTTTCCAGAATATGGTTACTGCTGGCCAGCCAGGCCCAATATGCAGCTATGATACCGGTACGACAGCGTAGCTACAGCAGAGGAGCCAGAAGAATGTCACCAAGAAAAACTGTTGTCATGAAAAACTGTTCATTGTTATTGTTATTATAAGTTATCATTTAAAAACAAACATATACCCGAGGTGTCCAAGCAACAACAGACACAGACAAAGTGTTCGTTTAACGGCTGGGGAAGGCTTCCGAGATGGTGTACGATATGAGAGTGTTCCTAAACTCGCCAGACTGCAGCGTGAAGAGACCGACAGGGATGGTAATGATGCTGTTGAGGTCGTGCATAGTGGCAGTTTCCAATGTCAGGACACTGTCAAGGGCAAAATCTTCGATCCGTGTACAATCGAGGTTTCCGTGGAAGTAGATATTCCTTAGCGAGAAGATGGGCCAAGGCAAACCGTCGATGGGAGCAATCTGGTCGAACCAAGCTCTTTCCAACGTTTGGAAATTGTTGCGAGAGAGGTCAAACGTTTGCAAAATGACAAAGTCACGCATCTCGTTGGGCCTTAGTCCCGTGTTGGTCAGCCCGTTGTTGGATAAATCCAAGTGGACCAGAAACTTGAATTCAACCGCTGCCCCATTCAAAAAGAACAAGAAGAAGTCTGTTGGAATGGTCGTGAGGAGTGGGTGTCCGGAAATGAGAACCCTGGTAAGGAATGGATTTCTGCGGAAAAGCAGGTCTGGGAGAAACGTCAGCTTGCCCTCCTTTCGAGGGTCGGTGTTGACGATAGAGACGTCCGCGAGAACCAAATTACTCTGGAAGTTCTGATCAAAAAGTCGCGTGATCCTCTGGTTGTTCAAACTAATCATTACCACGTTGGTAAGCGCACCGAATGCCGTTGGCTCCACGGTCTCGATATTTCCGTCGTCAATGATCACAGCTTGAATATTCGTTGGCTGGAGGAGATTCGCAAACGTCCTGTTGGGCAAAATGGTGATACCACTTCCTTGCAGAGGGCCGCCTGGGTTACCAGGCATGGGCTTCCCAACATTGTTGCTCAGGATAATCACTTGGGCCTTGGGAGAAATCATCGCCAACGCCAATGGCAACGACCTGTCGTCGATTCCTGCATTGGTGCAGTCGGCCACCAAATCATCAAAGTAGTATCGGCAATATCCAAGATGCCTTCCAGTGTCAGCTCCCGCCCGCAGAAATTCGTACGCAGTTGCGTTCACAGCTCGCGCAGCGGGGTTTGGAAGTGGGGTATCAAGCTCATCACGTCGACTTTTTGAAGAATCAAAGATAACATTCGTACAAAACCCGCCGCCTCCTGGACTTGCCCTTGGACAGTACACTTGGGCGCCGTAGTTGTTCCTATTCAACTCAGCTAACCGAAGTTGTTGATCCCTGCACCAGAATGTATCACCCAGCACTTGTGGAGCCCCGAGTCCAGGTTGCTCGTCAACTCCAATGTAGTCTCGGGGGTTGATGGGGCGAGGATACAACATGCATGTCGCCTCGCAGTCTTCTCTGGCTTCGTAGACGCTACCTGTAGTTCGAGGCTGAGCAAAAGTTGTCCCCTCGATAAGTCGACGTCTCATGTCTTTGTGATCCTCTCCATCAATGGCATTATCCACTATCTCCTGAACTCTTCCTCGGACATCCTCGCCAATGTTCAATTCTTCAAAGAGTTTATCCATTTCTCCTTGGGCCAGGTCACGCCTGGTGTTGATTTTGTCTTGATACCTGTCTTTCACTTCTTCAAGGCGTCGTCTTCGGGCGGTACCCGGTCCACGAGGGGAATCGGGGTTGAAGAAATGGTTGGCACTTTCGCACGTGTTCAAGTAACGCTGGCAAAAATTCGTGCAAAGGGAATCTGGCGCGAGGTTCATTGGTTTTGAATTCTATTTACGAATGGATGAGTGACAAGAGACGCGATTCAATACCAGGACTTCCGGTGCTCAAGACAACTTACAGGACTTTTCCCTTTGCTGCTCTTCCTGCGGTCCATTGCAACATACATCCCATTGTTGTCCATTACCCAAGGATCATATGTGGATGCGTCTTCGTACAGCTGACCATCTTCGGCAAGAAATGGGAATGGTTGTACTCCCTCCTTCTCAACCTGGTAGCCACCAATAACCTGTCCATCGTACTGTGGGTTTTCGGTTTGCCATTCATACTCCTCCGCCACAGCTTCTTCCGCCACAGCTTCTTCCGCCACGTCTTCGACAGCGTCCTCGACGTCGCCGGCTACGGGGAGCGCCTCGGGCTCGAAGGCATCCTGTGCACGACGAACTTTGGTTCCCCGCAAAGCAAAGGCGGGTCCAATCAACGCCAACACAAGGCAGAGTGGCGCGAACTTCATGGTGATGCTTTTCCTAACAATCGATTAATTGCAAAATCACACAGTCACTCTGGTTGTCTCTCTTGCTCGTCGATATGATCGTTGACGCTAGCTAGAGAAAGTTTGTGAGCAATCTTGGAACTGGTCGATTTCATCTCAACGGCCAGGTTGGTGTGGTTGCCGTTGGGTTTTCGTGAGGGCCCGGACTCTCACATGGGAAAATGGTCTCTCGCAGCGCACTCCAAATTCCGCATTTAGGCACCATGACAGTTTTGGCGCTGTAGTTTCAGAACCAACTACTACTTTTTTGATAGGCTCGGAACACTTAGGGAGGTTTGCAGTCCCAGAGAGCGTTTGAGCAGCTCCTTTCTCCATCACTTAGTGTACTACGATAGCAAGAGGTGCGCCATTTTGTTGCCCCGGAGGTGCACGCCACATACCGGTACCGGTACTGTTGCAACTTGCTTGCCTGTGATTTTGAGGTCGGCCTTCTTTCCATACCCGCGGCACTCTCGCAGTGTGTGACAGGCAAACAACTTGGATGGATTAATGGCTGCGCTGGCGGTAGTTCCCTACGAGGACGACTGTACTAACTTTGAACACAAAAAGAAGTCCGAGCAAGTCTGGGGATACCGGTCTTCTGATGGCTACTCGCTAGCTAGCTAGCCACACAGGTAGAGGTGCCTTGAAGATACCAGGGAGACAAAAATCCATCCATGTTTGTGTGAATGATTGGATTCAACTCCCTTGCGAGTTGCAGATTTTGACTTCCTCGTTTGGTGTGGTCCCGCGGAAAATGGTTTTTGAAACGAGGAGGAGCCTTCAAAGTGTACCGGTATATGATGGCTCCTACCGGTACCTTGCTGGTACGTCCCACCTTTCAGGGGCATTTGGTTGGATGCCCCAAGAGAAAACTTGAATGAAAGGCAAATATGCCATAGCTACTGTTGTCCTCCGAACTACCAGCTCCTTGCTGTGTCAGCCAGCCAGCCCACACGGTAGCTAGGCAGCTAGATATAATATTTACATATATGATATGGTTACTATTTTAGCAAGTGGTGAGGCGAAAAGTTTGAAGGTACTGGTATTGTGATGCTGAGGATGGAATAGACCAGAAAAGGATGGTGCCATGGGAGTAGATCGGTGTACAGCGTAGTTATTAGTTGTCCATGGACCACCATCGGCGCCACTATCAGAGACTTGCTAAGCCTGAACCTTAATCTTGTAATACTCTTATCCCTACTGATACTACTCAGGATAGATCTGAATCGAATCGAATCTTATCGAATCGAATTCAGGCACGCGCTCCGCGAAGAGGTGCCAGCGACCGACCATGGCGCCTTCTCAAATAAATCAAGAGGATCCACACGGTCAACGGGCATCAACGCCGCCCTCATTGTTCGCGCGAGAGGAAGAAGCATTGGTCCTCTTTACTACAGTACTACTAGCTAGCTAGGTTCACACAGCCTTATAACAGCAGTCAGTTCAGCTAAATATATATATATATATTAGCAGGAGGAGACCAACCAACAGGAAGCACTAGTGTTTGGTTGCTTCAAAAGAAAAAGAAGACAAGAAAAAAGGAAAATCCATTGTAACACACACCCAAGTACCTTTAGAAGAATCAAACAAGTCAACGACTCGAACCATGTGGAACGCATTTACGGAATCGGCTCGCAAGGGCATTTCGGATGCGATGGAAAAGACGGGAGAAGCGTTGGAAAAGACGGGCGATGCCATTTCCAAGGCGGCGTCGAATCCGTCGTCGCAACGACAGAATCAGCGCATGATGCCGCGGAATTTAGAGTCCATGCCCGCCGAAGAAGCATCGGCGTCGGACATTCGTGCCCGAGCGGCCGCCGCATTGGCCAAAGTCCAAGCCAAAGAAGACAGTGGGACGCTGTCGTCTCCTGTGGGCAACAAGAAGAAGAAAACATCCTCGGTGCTGCTCGGTGCGAGTACTAGTAGTACTTCTAGTAGTATGGCGTCGTCACCCGGAATGAAGAAATTGGCGCCGCCTCCTCTATTTCAAAATGGATTTCAAAATTTACAAAAAGGATGGAGCAATGTCGTGGAAGGCGCCAAAAAGGGAGTTGCCGCGGCACAAGAAGCCGTCGAAAAGGAACAATCGCGCTTGGAACTCATGTTACAGGCGAGAGATCGACCGCACTACTTTTCTCGTGAACTCCATTTGCCCTTGGATGTTCCCGCACTCAAAGATGCCGAAGTCGTGTACGTCACGGATCGCATTATTAGTATGAGTCATCCGGCGTTGCCATCGCAGACGTCCCAAATTTCGGGAGAACGCAAATTGGCGGCCGTTTGTCATTTATTGGAAAAACGACACGGATCCGGCAATGTCATGATTTGGAACTTGTCGGAAGTCACCAATTATCAAGATCACGCCAATCCCGTACTCGAACGCGTCGGGCCTGTATTGGCTTTTTCGTTTCCCGGATCCCCGGCGCCTCCACTCGGGTTGTGGTTGCAACTATTGCTCAGTTTGGAAAAATGGTTGCAAGCGTCCCCTCAAAATGTCGCCGTCGTGCACTGTCTGACGGGCAAGGGACGCACATCCACCGTACTTGCGGCATTTTTGTGTTGGATGGCCGAAGCGGGATTTGAAAAAACCAACATGACCATGGCATTGGCGTATATTGCGCAGTGCAAAAAAATGACCGTCGAAGAATTGACCATTCCCTCGCAACGACGATATGCGCAATACTTTACGAATATGTTGGAAGGAATTCGACCCAGTCAACCACCGCTGGTACTCAAACGCATTATTATGAGTGAAGCGCCTCATGTGAGTATTTATATTGCGTGGCATCGCATCGCATGGTTTTCATGGTTGTGTCACTTTTGTGGGGCTCAATTTATTATCATTTTTCTTGTGTGTGATTTCCAATATATATATATATATATAGTTCGCTCTGGGACCCCCGATAGTACGCAACAAGAAAAAGCAAGAAGGCGACAATAATAACAACAATGACGATGGTACCGAACAAGTGGGAGAAAACAAGGATCGCATGGGATGTGCTCCCTATCTACAAGTCTTTCAGGCAGGACAACTCTTGCACACGGTCGCTGCCACGCTCAATTTGCAACAACAGCCCGATGCGCTACCGTTTTGTCAGGTGGCCGATGGATCCATTTCCTTTCATGTCGAACAAATCATTCAAGGAGATGTGCTCATTCGATGTCGACATTTGGCACATTCCACCAAACAAAAGATTAGCATGTTCCGGGCCGCCTTTCATACCGGATATGCACCGCCCAATGTATTGAGATTTACCAAACCACAGTTGGATGGCGCTTGCAATGATCCACGATTCCCCGATGATTTCTTTGTCGATTTGATTCTAGAACCGTGCAATGAAAAACAAGTGAGCGAGTTTTATCAACAACAACAACAAGAAGAGGAAAAACGAAAACAACAACAACAAGAAGACCAGCAAGAGGGAGAGCAGCAGCAGCAAGCTGAAAATAGTCGCACTACCTCGAAAAAGGATGCTGTCGTGACGGCATCGACCTACGATTCCATGTTGCATCGGGATTCCCGATTCTGGGATGTCATTGCCGAGCATTTGAAAACCACGGAAGAAAAAGAGGGCAACGTTAGCGAAGAAGAGCAGCCCAAAGATAGCAAAGCGTCGCGTATGGGACCCACAGTGGGAAAACGACGAGTCTTTGTGTCGACACCCAAAGCCAAGACGGAGGATGGAAAAGCCAGTGACGGTCAAGACAGCACCAAGGCTGCCAACGCTCAGGATCCATTGTTGCAGACATTTTCCATTGGAGGTGAACTGGACTTTTTGCCAGAACCGGAGAAACCCAAACCAAAGGAAGAACTACCACCCAAGAAGGATTCGTTAATGGCTGCCTTGATGGGTGCTCTGGAAGAAGAGCATCACGAGGACGGACCGCGCCCTGATACGGAGGAAATTGTCTTTGAGGATGACTCGACAGCTGGTAGCAGCGAACCCGGGAGCGTACCACCACCACAACCAACCATTGTCGCATTGCCGCCCAAAGAAGGAAGTACCTCCACGGATGCCACCAAAGCACCTCCGGCGCACCAAGAATCTACGGCGACAACCGAATCCATGAAGGAAATGGAAAATCTCTTGTCCAACACATCGGCAAGCGATCTGGATATGGACGCCTTGTTGGCCGATGATGGAGATGATGACTTTAACTTGGAGGACTACAATGTGGACGACGAGGATGACGAGTTGGCTGATTTGGAAAACTTTCTGAACTCAAAGTAGAGGCACACACACACAAAACGGATCGTGCAACAACCAGTAGCAAGAACACAGCAAGATGATTTTGAAATTTGCTTATTCTCTGATAGATAGTCAATAAACTAAATTTGAAAAGACCAGAATTCTACACTTGTTCCTTTGGGCTGTGTCTAGAGGAGAAAACTTTGGATGTCGGATTGGTTGTTAGCAAACATGAAAGGTACAACTCTATAGTTTTGTAAAACATTGGTGCTCGGCCGCGTTCAGAGCCTGGTCCCTCGGAGATAAAATGAGCAAGGACGGTGATCCTGTTTCTCCAGAATGAAGTAGCTTTGTTGCCGTGGCGCTCCTGGCACTGTGATGATGACCTAAACGGTAGCATTCCTCCTGATCCTGCTACCTGTTGCCAAAGCTGTGTGTTTCAAGTATGTATGTCCAGTCTTTCTGCTCTTGCCGTTGCACATGAATCGCTTTCACAGGCTTTCTAGGTGCGCTATGATGCTCCTGCAAGTCTCTTTGTCGGAACAACACAGACGTCCCATAGAGGATGAGCGAGACAGCAATGCCAAAAGGATTCAAGACCAAGTTTATCAAGCCAAAGATTGCCACCAACGCGAAAAAGATGACCGCCTGAAAAAGGACATTTTGGCGGAGCCAAAGGAAGAGTATGGCGTGTCCTAGGCGCCCATACCACTTGGATTCGGATTGGCCGTCTCCAGATGGCTTGCACAGGTTGGGCGAAACGTACAGACAAACAGTGCGATAGGGGCTCAACATCATGTGGACAAAGGATTGATGCGACATGGCTTTCCACCCGTCATCATCTGTCATTGCTGCAGGTGTTGTAGTAGTGGAGGCAACACTTGCTGTACTGACCCTTCGAAAGAGTTGGATATACTCTGTACCCAAGAAGGACGTATAGGCAGAAGTGACAATACCGTCGACAACAATGGTCCCGTCTTGAGTCAAAGGATTGTACAAGCCATTCCGGATCACCTCCTTTATTTCAACAACCTCGGTCTTTTGCCAATGCTTGCATGCGGCTGAGAGATCCTGGGAGGAACAAGAGCCATTCTCACTGTCCATGACGAACAGATAGTCACCTAACCGAACCTGGCTGGCTGGTATTGGGTTGTCATGACCGACGACGTGAAGCATATGACTGGGTGTCAATTCCAAAGGACGCACTCCTGTGGAGTTGTTCTGACTGAACGTGGTATGGATTTGAATGTAGGTAGTTGGTTTTGTCTTGTCGTAATGAAACATGCTGTAGACGGGTTGATACTGGCCACTGGCAGTTAGGACCTTGTCACCCACTTGAAGATCCTTCATGGCGACCAAACCTCGATGCTCTACCGGAGTCCTGGCTTCGGGAGCAAAGCAAACGAAGATTTCTCCAATTCCCGCAAAGAACTCACCAATATCTGTAAGGCATTCATTGATAAAGTCAAGGAGATCAGTAAAGAAATCCCCGATGTCGTTAAAGAAATCGATCCAACTCTGAAGATACGAATCAATGCCAGATACACAGCGACGATTGGCATTGTACAGGACTTCTTCACCGACACACCATTGGTTGAATTTGCCACCGGCGGTATCACAAAAGACTTGGAACTGTGGGATATCTGTCTCTTCAATATCCCAGCATAATCTTTGTTCAAAACTAGTGGCATTGAAGAACATGCGATCAAAGAGCTGCAGACTCGTGGTTTCCCACGGTAGGGATTGGTTGAATTGTGTATTCCCTTCAAACCTGAAAAAGCGCCATGTACAAGAGCATAGAGTGAGCCAGGAAAAACATTCATTGTATCAAAGAGGTGACCAGTTTCTTGCTCCTGGCTTCTTGGCATACATTTGTTGCATATTAACCACATTGCTGACATCCCAGGAGGAAATATCTTGATTGTAATTGGAGTACATGAATGCACCATCCATGCTGTAGACATTGGAAGTATCCAGGTCCGAAAGATCCCCTTGCATTCGGGTAGCTAAAAAGAACATGTTGGACATTTCAGCGTTACTTCGGGCGGGCCATGGCAAGTCTTGGTTGAACCGAAAAGCTTCTCGGAACATGGAGTACATGTTGGTGACGCTGACGGGTTTCCATCTCGAAATATCTTGATCGAACTGGTTGGCACTATATACCGGGATCCGGGATTGCAAATAAAACAAAAGTAGAATAGAACGAATGAATAATCACATCGGAATGAGCTGGATCACTCCATCACCCAACAATTTTGGCTACCCAAAGCAAGGACGTATAGCTCAATGACTTACCCCCAAAACATGCCATGCATGGTGGTGACACACTGAACATTCCAGTTTCCAATATTATCATTGAAGGTACCTTTATCCTTGAACAGATTGTACATGTGCGTGACACGAGACACATCCCATTGGTTAATCGGTCCAAACCGAATCATGGCCCCGGTTCGATTGGTGATCCATTCTTCCACGGCAATTTGCATATTGCCGTCAGTGATTTCTTCAAAGCCTTCTTCTTCCTCGTCGTCTTCAGACGAGCTGTAGTACCGCGCGATCTGATCGTCACCTTCATCCTGTAGCAGTCGTCCGAGTTTCAAGTTGCGTTCCAGCAGCCGACGATGATCGTCCGACGACGACAACAAGTCGCAAAAATACTCATCTTGCGAATGAGAGCGTTCCAGGGCTTCGCCATGAACCAATATTGGCAGCAGCAGCGTCCAGTAGATTGCCACCATAAAAAGGTGCAAAGGAGGAACGAACGATACCATGGTTTGTCTTATTGTTTTGGTTTAGACTAGTTGCTCGGATCTGAACAAAGAGCTTCACAAGTCTATCTCTACCGGTATCATCTATCTGTTGAGTGCAGTGGTTGGTCCGGCAAGTTGCCGTTTCATCTTGAATGAGCCCAACGCAAGCCAGATTTGAATTTACGGTAATTAGAGAGATTCATCGCTGAACACGGGACGTCAAACCTGCGAACTGTGATGCCACAAGATACGGGGGATGAGCAAATGTTGCTAAAGGGTAGTAGTGTACTCAATTGGGACTCGAAATAACAGTTAATAAAGCGAAATGCAAGCTTTCGACCAAAATTAAGAAAAATTAGATTGGATTGCACTGAATTGCATTGAATTAGATTGCATTGGATTGAATTGGATCAACAATAGTACTGTTATTTGTATAGTAAAATGGAATTCAATTCAATTCAATTCAATCCAATTCAATGCAATCTAATCAAATCAAATCCAATCCAATAGAAAACAAACATCCAAAACATAATATTTCCTTTACAGACACAATTATACAAAAAAGAGCTATCAAATTCAATGCAGTGCTATTGGCATTTTTGCTCATCCCCACGGCTGGATCTTTTTTTGCCAACAAAGTGAGTGAACCGAGAAATGATGATCTGCTACGGCTACCAGGTAGTACTGTACAGTAATTTATTTGTCACCCAGGAGAAAAACACGCTCTCCAAACAATATGTGCTTGCTACTAGCTAGCTAGTACTTAGTGAGCTTGGAGACGGAAATCAAATTACAGTTCAAGCATTCCTACCGTACGATACCCTTTCTCGGTTCAATTGCTACAGTTGGAGCTAGCTTGGGGAATATGTTGTGTCAGAAGAGTCCTCTTTGAGAGAATTTGGCACTTGACTTTCCTGCAATGAAACTGCCATGTCGGATGCTGGTGCATCAGCGTCGAATTCCGGAGACTGGCTGAGTCCTAGCTCTTTCAATCTCAGAAACTAAACAGTGCACAAGTTCCAGTAGCAGCCAAAGCAAGGCAGGATGTCGCCAGGGCAAATCCATTGTCTTGAAAACTGCAGGGAAGGCATGTTGGTGCTGGTGGGAAGTTCACGTATACCCGTGTGTCTATGATGAAGAAAAGGCTACTATGCAGATATCCGACTTGGGCTTACTGAAGCAGGGCTCTCTTCTAAGATGACAGGACATGCATTAGTCGGCGTACAAATAAAAGTCCAATAAGTAATCCACTCTCTAGCTAGGTCCGCAGCAGAAAGGGAGCTTCAACTAACTGCATTGGCATCCAAGAAGAGAGGAAACTCGCATCACAAGCACTGCTAGATGTCAAAAGATGAGTTTGCGCCAAAATTGGAAATCCAATCAACAGTTGTAAACCTTTAACAGTCGATAGACGACAGGCGGTAAACCACCTAAGTAATTCTCTTCGGCTCAGCTTCAGGTAGTTTTTTGAAATTCTAACGCCGAGAATTTCCTCTCCCCAGTAGTCTCCCTCTCCCAGCCATACGTTAAATCCTATAATAGGACTTCCACTCTCACGAGCTCTCGCGTGAATCCAAAATACTTCATCCCGATACTTGCAAAGGACGCCCTATGAGCTCACAATTCCATCGTAAAGACTCGCAAAAGGACACCCAAACCTAGCTAGAAGGACGACCAAACAATGGCGTCCCCGCCTCCCAAAGGGTCTCTGGATTCAGTCCATGTTGACTTCTACGCCTCAGCTTCTAAGTCCTGCCAAGCCAAGCACAACAGTACTGCTACCAAATTCCAAGACTATATCAATGGACTGCAAGACCGTCTTGGTTTGTCCAGGTTCAGCTATGCTGATATTACTGAAACTGGTGGCTCTTTCTCAACCAATAACCAAGATGTAACAAAGTGGTGGTTCGCTTTCTGGGCCGGCCAGCCAGCCTTTTGGTTTAGCCTTAAGAAACCTAGTGGAGCCGACTATGCAGTCGGTACCCTCGAACGCTATATGCCTTCCATAAAGAATCAATTGACAAAAAAGTTCATATTGTCCCGTTATCTCAAAGTGATTGAAGAGACTTACACATCTGCCTTCAGTTCCCTAAAGGCAATGGTAAAGACACGCAAGAGGGAATCACCTTCACCAGCCAAAGGCAAAGTGTACACCAGTGCAGACATTGCATTCATCCTACAACGTTGTCTTTGGTTCAATCAGGAGAACTACATCGACTTCTACGTCTTCCAGACAGCCCTTCTCCGGCTTTGCAGCAGAGCAATGGAGACCTCACGGCTCTCTGTGCAGAACCTCACCGTTAGAGAGCTCTGTGCAGGACCCATCCTTCAATGTTACCTCGTGCGTGATAAGATGGGGGTGGACAGTAACATGCCTTTAATTCCCAACAAAAATGATGTTTTCGGTGATCTTGTTGTAGCCATTGGTCTGGCTCTGTTCATCTACAGAGGCCAAGCCCTCATGCCGTCGATCGCCTCCTTGGTTGATTCATCAGTTCCAGCCCATTACACCACCATTCTCAACTCCATCTGGAAGCGTTACCCACCTGCAGAGAATGCCACTGTTCGAAAAGGAACTTCACACTTTGGCAAGCATACCGCTCAGTTCCTCCTCGACGGCAACAAGCTCCACATTGCTGCGCAATTGTTCGGCGGTTGGAACATTGGAGAAGGAGCCCGTGCTGAGTACTTCTCAAATCCCTTTCCATATTTGCTAGACAGCGCAAAAGCCCTTGCAGGCTGGAGCAAAATTGGAGGGAATGGCGACTACCAACGTGTGACTATCCCAACCTACCATACCATCTCGAAAGACCTCGGCGACAAGATTTGCTCAGTTTTCTTCGGTCACATCCCTGAAGACATGCTTTGTCCCCAAGCAAAACAAATGGTTCTAATGTGTGTCTTGTCTAAGTGGAACCAGCTTTTACAGCACATCCAAGCAGAGCCCAATGGCTTATTGTTCAAAGATCCAAGCAATCACATCCTCGTTGGAACACTTATGCAACGACTTGCACTAGAAGATGTAGGGTTAGCTGAATTCAACAAATTCCAGTCCGCATGCCAAGAACTCTTCGCCAAAGCCAACCATACCGACCATAACGAGAAGGAGAACAACAGTCCTCCCCCAGTTGCTCCGTTTACCCCTCCACTCACTGCAACGGTTGCATCGAAACCATCAACAGACTCTCCATTTCAACGTGAACTGGAAATTCACCCTCTCAAAGTGCTTCTTAATCTCATTACAAGGTATACCGATCCAAGAGTTGTCTTTGTCAACTTTTTCACTTGCAACTTCATGGAATCTTACAAGTCTGCTGTAGAGATCGACAATCGCATGAAACGCACGGAATCTTACAAGCCTGAGATTGACAATCGCATGAAATGTAAGTATCGAAAAATCAAGGCCGCCATTAGGGTCATGGTCCGATTCCTCGATGACTATCCTACAAAACCAACACTTCAAGAAGCTGGTGTCATGATGAACCGTATAAAGAACGCATTGTTGAGTGAGGCTTCAAGTGTCAAAACTCAAGGGAAACAACTATTCAATGCTGCAACACCACTCCACCTCTCCATCATTCGCGCAAATGAAGCTCTGCTTACCAATAAGACCAAGCCATGGTACCGTCCTCTTCCACCCAACACCCCTCATTACTTCATTGAGCATGTTTACGGCCACAAGATCTACGAGGTCTAACTCAGAGTAGAATACTCTAAAGCTTATAATAAAATCTCTCCGCGATTTTTCGCATCCTCATCGACTTGTGCATTCCGAGATTCCGAGTATCGTGTCCATCGACAGACGTATTCAGCTGACGTCATACCAGCCGGCGTCATCACAGTCATTCCCAATGTCCAATTTTGCCTAAACGCACACCCTCTCAAGAATTTGAGGGGGGGTATTATTACAGGCAAAATTGGACCACCTCATAGAGGCTGGTACAAATCTTACGCGAAAAGTGACAAGGTCCAAAATTCACCCGATTTACATTTCTGTCACTCTGTCACTCGGGCTCTCTGACAGCTGTCACTCGGGCTCTCTGACAGAGTGAATTGTTTCACTTTTCGCCTACAAACTGATAGCCCCGCGGCGACTGAGCCACCAACCTCTCAACCCTTCGAACTGATACCAGTAGCCCTCCGCGACTGAGCGACCCTTTTCCGATTTAATCATTAGATAGTTGTCGGTCTACGCCTACAAACTGATAGCCCCGCGGCGACCGAGCCACCAACCTCTCAACCCTTCGAACTGATACCAGTAGCCCTCCGCGACTGAGCGACCCTTTCCCGATTTAATCATTAGATAGTTGTCGGTCTACTAGCTAGCTAGCCAGCGAGTACTTGGTAGTCAGTTTTTATTCGTTTAGAAATTCGTTAGTCGATTGAATGATTCGTTTTATTTGATTAGAAATTCGTTTGTTTCAATCAATCGATTCGATTTGACTTTACTAGTTTAATTCGATTAGATATTCGTTAGTCGATTCGACTTCACTAGTTTATTCGATTTACCCTTTTGCGCCAAATGCGAGCCATAGCCCACTACTAGCTAGTAGTAGCTAGGTTCCAAACCCACCCCCTTCAGTCTATCCTGTAGCTGTCACTCTGTCACTCTCATAAATTTTCAGTAAGCAATGAACACCAGGGATGAGCACCAGAATCTCTCATCTGCTCTCATTGCCTCAATCGTTGCTTGTAGAGATGTTGCCAACAATGGAGACAATGGAGTTAGAGAATCAGAAACAGGCCATATCTCAAGTGGTAACCGCCCACAGCCACTGTCGTTTGTACCGCATCAGAATTCCGAAGGAGATGCAACTGGTAGAGGAGACTTGTCATCAGACAATACCAACAATCAAAGAGATACTCCAAGAAAGGTCAAGTGGAACAACACCGTCCAAGCCTGACACTTCTCCCAGGTACAAGAAGGATTCAAAGAAGGTGAAACAGAGATCGTCTCAGCAATTATTGGTAAAGAAGTAGGTGAAAATGGAACTCCTCATCTCCAGGGTTACATCCACTTC